AAAGGCCGTCACCCCTCCGAGTCCTCAAACTTAATTACCCCCACCACGCCATCACCCCAGCAAAACGCATCTGCATCCTATTCCAGCCGTGAACTTCCCGCAAAAAGTGGTACATGTCCCGGCCCTGACCAGTTTCGTTACACGCGACCAGCCCAAGGAGAGTGTGGACAAAGTATTTAAAATCTGCATGGCCTAGTCGCCCAGGTGTGGTGAGTGGGAGCGTATGGTGGTCGCACCCTCCGTCGGGACATGCATAGGAAATGTCTCTTTGGCGGCAGAGCCCACGCGACATTCCATGTTGAACTCTAATGCCGTTCGCTACCAGGTACCGGATAATATCCTTGTGCCCAAAATAGACAGCGAGGTCAATGGGATGCCACCAGAACAGAGGGTGGCGTCGCGGTTTTCCGCTAAGGGAGTCGTCCTCTGTTTTGAGCGGACGGCGGTTCAGGCTGAAGAAGTCGTTGCGCCAGGTGTATCGAGAGTCTTGGGAAGCCATCTTGAGGAGTGGCTGCCCGGCTTCGTCCTTATCCTCGGGCCAAAAATGATCTTCAGAGTCAGGGTCTTCTTCTTCCAGTTCGTAGCGCTCTTCACATGGGCCCTCGTCTACCACCCGTTCTGTGTCGCTTTCTTCATCACTTTGCTCCTCTTCGACCGCTTCTTCGGTCGCTTGGTCGAGCAGATCCTGTTCCCAATCGTGGGTGAAGCCCTCTAGGTCCACGTCAGAGATCTCAAGCCAGCCATCGTCCTGGCTTCCAACACTGTTGTCTTTGTCGTCTTTCAATCTGAGTGCAACCTTTTGGTAAAACTCCGGGCTGTGGCGGTAAGGGTTGGATGGAAGCTCTCGGAGCGGCTTCTTTGATGCCCAGATCTGGTTGAGTGGCGCCCCGGCTTCATGAACCAACTTGAGCGTTCCCAACCTACCGAACTGGCAGGCCCAGGGCAAGGCACACGAACTTCCACTGCGTACATCCAGCTTGTAGAGCAAGGGGTTGAGCATGCAGTAAAGCCGCTTGTTGGTCTTGGCCAGGCGTGCCAAGTCAGCGGAGGAGTGGGTAGATTCGGCGATCTGAAGTAGCATTTCCGCAGGAAGGCTTTCTAGAGTCCGTGAAATTTTGGACGGCTGTTGGAGCGCCATAGCAGTGAAGTTCCACGGGAGTCTGTTTTGGCGGAGTCTGTAATTATATACTAGAGGAAAAAGTTGTGTGGTAGTAGGTGCTCGTTAAGGCTACTGATGATGATGATGATGATGATGATTTCGTAGGAATAGAGCGAGATGAGGCAAGCAATGAAAGAGCACGATAAGGATGTGAAAGTAGTTAGATGCTGTTTAGCATATTAGTTGCCGTATAGTGATTCAGCGTTGAGCGAATGGATGTCCTGTTAGTTGTCTGGTATTAAACCAAAAGTTCAGAGAGGTTTGTGCGGTCTTCATGTCCATGGGATGACAGTCAGCAGAAGCAGGATTTTGAGGAAGAACGAACGAGCACACTTTCCCGTTAGGCTCTTGCATTCCTGTTGCAGGAGGCCAGCTGCGGACTGTCCATGGTGTAGGTAGCCTTTTGCTTGAATGGGAAGAAGAGAATACAGATATGCAGCCTCAAAACCTATACCTGTTGGGGAAGGGGGTCATATTTCCTGTCTGTTCCTCCCCAACTCTGTTGCCTCCCCAACCGGTACTTGCTTTGTCTAGGTACCCATTAGCAAGCGTGTTGGTTGTAGCCTTGGTTGGCGGCTTGCTCGATCCCAATACATCAGTTCCCCGGTTCACCTCCTCCCACGACTTGGCCATAATGCACCGTCTCATCCACCGTTCCACGGAGTGTCTGGAACTTGAAGCTCCACCGCAGTACCCGGGCTACGCTGCATCGACAATGGCCTTGCACTCGGCGCTTGTATGCATAACCTGTCCCTTGGCACAATCATCACTTTGCCAGCCATATACCCCTGAGCTATTCTCCGGATAAGCATAACAGCCAAACGGTTCACCCGCAAAGGCCACTTCTTGCAGCGAACGTATCCGGATGTGACCGTCATAAACACCCGCGATGCATCGGCATGGTACTTCTTGATAGCCCAGCAGACCATGCTTACAGTATCCGGTGAATCACCGCGGCCATCGTGCGTCAACCCTTCAAGTCCTTGGATGTTAAGTCCCGGCACTGGTCTGTTGCATTTTGAACGTTCAGGTGAAATACAATGTACCCGTACGTTTTGGCCCGTGTGGAGTACTTAGAGACGAGAGTGTCGAGGACATGGTTGTAGAAGCCGACGTTGGTCGGGTTTCTGAAGTCGGTGATTATTTGGCGACGGTGAGGGGTGGGGATATGCTGATTAGCCTAGATGGAGACGGGAAGGAGGTGTGACTAAGAGGGGATGGGGAGGGCCAACGACCGTCCGTGGTGGCCACAACGAGTGGTCAATTCCTATCCACCATACATCCGCGATATCGTGGGAAGATTTCAACAAGAAATAATGGGAAGCTAGTAAGCACTGCCGACGACGAGCATTCATCAAAGACCTCATGGGTGGTCGTTAATGCCAAGAAACGTTCCATCGTGAGAACCTCTTTGGCCGATACGATTGGTGGGGTTTTTAACACACTTGGCTCGTGCACGATGCGGGGGATGATGAGCATTTTCCTTGCCATTCAATTCAAACACGGAACGTCTTCTCGCCCTTTGCGATCGCCTCAGCCTCCCACATCTCTCTTGACCGCGGCTCCTTTGACAGCAAAAGATATGATCAGTACCAAAGGGATCACCCTGTCTCTCGGCGTTGACAATGCCTCCACCGTCTCGTTCCTCAATGTCTCTCCAGTCGTCTGACGCGGCCCGTCGCACGATACTCTGACAACCGACAACTTTGTTGGTCAATCGGCTCCGGCGTCCGTGGGATCTGACCAACCATTATTGCGAGCGAACCAATGAGGTCACCAGCTTCCTGGTTTGTCGATGCTTCGTTGACAATCAGATGCCAAGGATGCCTCGGCTAGCCCAGCCCGGGCGCTCATTCGCATCCAAAACCTCGACACCACATCCCTCCGATTTTGGCTCTAGCGATAGCTTCCTGGCCCTCAGATCACACGAGAGCCAGTACTTGCCGTGATCATGCCGCCGACCGGCAACCCGTTCAATTTCGCGCGAATTACTCTGCTAGCCCTGGTCGAGGTGCTTATCGTCAAGAAAACCAGCTATCGCCATGTTCTCCCCATCTCTACCACATCGCTGGTCCTGGCGATCCTCGCATTAAACTACGTCTTCCTTCTCGCCTGGAAGCTGTATCTATACCCCGTCTACCTCCACCCTCTCTCAAAGTTCCCAGCACCAAAGGTCGTCGACCTCTGGCGAGTGCTGGCTCGTTTTCGGGGAAAGGTCCCGCCTGGCCAGCTACTCCTCGAACTAGCCGAGCGTACCCCCAACGATGGCATCATCATTCTACAAGGAGGATTCGGTACTTCCATGCTGATTACCAAGCCCGCACCCCTTGCCGACATACTCGTCCATCGTCCGTACGACTTCGTCAAGCACGACGCGATACGAAATTTCCTGCGTCCGATTCTAGGCAATGGCCTGGTTATTGTCGAGGGCGAGCAGCACAAATTCCTGCGCAAGAATACACAGCCGGCATTCAAATTCGGTCATATCAAGGAGCTCTACCCAACAATGTGGACCAAGGCGATTGAGATGAACCATGTTTTGAAGGAAGAGCTCAGAGAGAAGGGCAAGGACACGAGCGTCGAGATCAATGCCTGGGCGGGCAAAGTCACCTTGGACATTATTGGCATCGCTGCCTTTGGCCGTGACTTTCACGTACTCGAAAGGCCCAATCATCCTCTGGTCAAGAATTATGCCGACCTCCTAGAGCCAGGGCCAGCAAAGTTCGCCTACTTCTTCCTGGCCCTGACACTCTCTCGAAAGTTTGTCGACCTGTTCCCTTGGGAAATTTCTAGGAGATTCAACCGAACGACCTCCAATATAAGAAGGATATGTGCCGAACTTGTTCGCGAAAGAAAGGCAGCAATTGAAAAGCTTGGAGACGACCAGTTCGATATCCTGTCCCTGCTTATCAGAAGCAATAACTTTTCCGAGGCCGAGTTGGTCGATCAGCTTCTGACCTTTCTGACCGCTGGGTGAGCCGGTTCAACAGTCTTCGCGCATGGGCTTTCCACTGACAATCACAGCCACGAAACGACTTCTTCCGCCTTTACCTGGGCTGTCTATAAACTCGCCCAGGACGGCGAAGTTCAATCCACTCTTCGGTCCGAACTTAAACGCGCCTTACCCGACTTTCCCAGGTTTGCGCCTGGTCAGGACATTGCCAGTATCCTCGAACATCTCCCATATCTTAATGGTGTCATGAACGAGACCCTCCGTCTCTACCCTACGGTCCCTATGACTGTCCGCACCGCCACCTGCGACACAACTGTATTGGGTCATCCGATAAAGAAGGGCACAGAGATCATGATCTCGCCTTGGCTTATCAATCGATATTCCGACAACTGGCCCAGCGCATCAACAGAGTTCGTACCGGAGAGATGGATCGACCAAGAGGGCACGCACATTGCAGAGGACGGGACCGAACAGCCGACACAGAAGCCTAACAACACCGGCGGAGTAACGAGCAACTACGCCCAGATGACGTTCCTCCATGGTCCAAGAAGCTGCATTGGTCAAGGTTTCGCCAAGGCTGAGCTTCGATGCTTGCTTGCCGCGTTTGTTTTGGCATTTGAGTGGGAGCTTGGGATGGACGAAAAAGACGTCATGCCTGACGGTGTAATCACAATCAAGCCCAACAACGGGATGCACTTGATATTACGGAGTCTTGACGGGCACCAAAACGGCTGATTTGCTTTTGTATCGAAGGACTAATATCCATCTCCCGCTTCCATCCCTTCATCTCAATCTTTCTCTTCTTGGCCGACATCTGCTTCGGCGCCAGGACCCTAAGTACCTGTAGTGTCCCTGGGGACACAAACTAATATCCAAATGCCACTATCATCACTTGACCTCAATCTTCCTTCCCTTTTGCGGCTGGTGCTTTGGCGCCACGACCTTGAGTATGCCCTTCTCGAGCGTCGCATCAATATCCAACTCCTCCAATGGCCCTGGGAAAGCAAACTCGCGCCCAAACTCGCCAACATGGCGTTCCCGCAAGAAGAAGCGAACAAATGTGTCATCTTTCTTCGCACCCTTCTTTCCTCCAGCCTTTTTCTCCGCTTCCGTCTCGGCACTGCCTTCGCCCTCGGCCTTCTGCTTCTCCTTTCCTTTATCCTCCTTTCCCTTACTCTCCTTCGCGCCACCTTCTTCCTCAGGAGTAGGGTCGTATTCCCGCTCAATTCGCCCATAGATCAAGAGAGTATTCGGCTCCGTCAGTTCGATATGGATATCGTCCCTGTCAGCACCGGGAACCTCGCCGTACAGCTCGTAGGCATCCTTGGTCTCGCGAATGTCGAAGCGCGGGCTGAAACCCCGACTCTTACGGCCCCAACGGCCGCCGCCGCCGCCATGTTGGATGCGAGGAGGACGGGGCGGCTCTTGACCGCCCGAGACTTCGCGGCTATAGGTGTCGAAGTCATCGAGGAGCCGGAAGAGGGTGGTGAAGTTTGGGTCGCTGGTGGCGAAGTCGGAGGGAAAGGTGAAAACCATCTTGGCGTTTGGGCTTTTGCTTGATGTTTAAGTCAAGCTGATAATCAGCTGGAGTGGAACAACGATGAATTGTGAGAGAATTATTCGGCTGTTGATGGCGGTAATTCTCCAAGTTGGTGTTGTTTGAATCGAGACCATAAGAACACGGCCGGGGACTTGGAGCTGCCCTTTGCCCCTCTTAAACCGGCCCTCAGCTTTGACCTTTGTCGTTGCTCAGGTGATGTGTGACGCACTTCCGCTGTAGTTGCCAACGAATATCGATGTCACAGAAACGTCATGTCGGCAATCAGATACTGGAGTCTCGTATAGGGACACGGGCACTGCACTGACAACAATGACGCCCTTCCTACGTACGGCACTGGATACGATACCGTACAAACTCGGGAAATTCGGATTTCAGGTCCGCAGGAAACTATGCCAGCGATTTTCCTCTGGTGAATCAAGCAGTCGCAGGAACTTCCCTAACTCGGCTACGTACCTGATGCCTAAGGGTCCAAAGGCTGGACGATTCACTCAAACAAATCACCGGCAGGGAACTTCCAGCGAATCTGCAATTCGGATCTCGTGAAACTCGTTTTCATGCCACCACCCAGACTATAACGCTAGCAGCGAAGGGCTTTTTAGGCAGTTTCTTTTGAAATTGATGATCTGGACCATACGACTGAACTCCCAGTGACATCGAGGGACCATGCCCCATCGGTTCATCTCTAGTATTTGGAGTGTTCAAGCGTAAACCATCTGCGGACGCCTCAGCATCCTGCGACTGAATACGAAGCTGGTAAACAGGGTCGACCATACAAAAACTGCTACAACTCCATGATGGGCGCACGTCATGAAGCCAGCCATGGTGGTTGTCAGGGTGACATCTTGACCATTGTTCGAATTGTTTCGAGTCTGACTTGAACGTAAATACTTCGGCCAGCATCCTGTTGGACTTTGTCTCGGTTTCTTTTCAACTTTCGAATGCCATTCTTTTTGTGTCAATTTCAGGAGTTTACAACCAACTTTGCAACTCTCACTGACAGTCTTTTCATTCCGACACTCACAGTACTCACTACGTCTCGACAGACAGACAAACAAACAACGAGCAACCTCAGCAACAAAACATTATCGTTACCGTCACCAATCACTACCCTATAAAGGATTCCACATTCACTTTACCAGCGTGTCGCTGGAAAACACAACGCCAAAATGACGTTTACTCTCACTAATACCATCCTCTCGCTCGTCTCTCTCTTCATCAGCCTCACCTCAGCCGCCCCAATTGCCGGTGGTTTTGGCGGTTTCGGTCGCAACGCTGTCGCCGGTGGCTTTGGTGGTTTTGGTCGTAGCGCTGTCGCCGGTGGCTTCGGTGGTTTTGGGCGCAACGCTGTAGGCGGTGGCTTCGGCGTCGGTTTCAACGCCGCTCCCTACGGCTTCGGTTTCAACCGCGCCTTCAACAACTTTGCCGCCTACCCCTACGGCTACGGCCTCGGCTTCAACCGAATCAACGCGTTCCCCTACGGCATGGGCTTCGGCCGCGTGAACAGTGTCGACCCCCCTACCATGATCAAGGCCGAGGGCGGCTGCTCTGAGTGCATCAAGGAAGCGCCCGTCTACGTCAACAACGTGCCGCCTCCGCCGGAGCCCAACCCAGCGCCCATCATTTACAACGAGATCCCCGCCGCCAAGCCGAGCCCGCCTCCAATGGTGATCAACGATATCCAGTCTCCTCCTCCTCAGGCTCCTCCTACCATTATGAACAATGTCATTCCCAACATGGAACCTAACGTCCCGCCTACTGTGATCAATAACCGACCCCCTGCTCCGGAGAAGCCTATGCCGCCCATGGTCGTCAACAATAACGTCGCGGAAGATTGCGAATGCGATGATTGCGGCTGTAATCCCGGCGCTGCCGAGTTGGTTCAGCAGGATGTCGAGTACGTTGAGCAACCGGCGGTTGCGTATATGCCGGTCGGCTCTTCAAGCGTGGTAGAGAACGTCGTTAATGATGGTGTGGCGTATGGAGGGCAGAGTATTGTTTATCCTTAGGTAAGGACACCATTGCCCCCAGAAATCTGATCAAGCCTTTTGATTGCTGACGATGATGACTTAGGGTGACCAAAAGATTGACGCTCGTTTTTAGAGAGGAAGACGCCTTGTAGCTGGGACTGCTAGGCAGCATCTGGGCCTTGAAGGTTCGACGGAGAGGAGGGAAGGAGAAAGAATAACCCGATTCATGAATGGTCTCGCTTCGTTTGAGGACCATTGCCCCACTGTCATTCAAACAACACAAAGATACTCTTACAATTTCACCTGATTATGCCAAAGCCTCTTTCTCGATAGCACTGCTGGTGACGAACAGCGCATTTGTTATGGGTTTTGTTGTGTGGTTGTGTAAGTCGTGTCCCTTGGGTCGTCGTCGACTTTGAGCAAGCGTCCCGCCCGCTGTGTGACTCCATCAGATATCTCACAACTCTTGTGTGTTTCGGGAATCCTTGGTACATGCATACCTAGTGACATATGATCTTCGAGTCTCGACCGTCTCTTAAATCGAATGCGAAATGCTGAACTTGATAAGTCAGCATGCTTGAGACATGCTGTCCACGTGTTGCTATGTACCCCTAAGGGGGGGGCACCCTGTTGTTGTCTTGCGCTGTCGGCTTGGCAGGGTCTACGCCCATGAACGGGCAACACCATCGATGTCTAAAAACAATTTTCCAGGTACACTACACATGCGGAAGATCATTTTCTTCGCAAAAGCCTTATTCCCATGCGCTAATCTTCATCGCGTACTTTATATAGCATACATTTGCGTCTTTCCCGCTCACTCCCGAATCGGAGCACGGCACATGGTATGTGACTCTGTCGTCGTCGTGAAGGGGAAAAAAAACAAAAAAGAAGATGGCTGGAGGAGGAGGAGCCAGGTTCACGTAGTGGGTCAACCAACCGCCTGAAATGATTCGATCCCTGTTGTAACGGCCCGCTCTCCAAAGGGCGCCAAAACTTGGCACCGGGGCTTTTGACGCCGTCCGATTCGACGATAGCCGTCCACTACCCTCAATGATGTCATCCCCAACCACCGTTTCACGAAGAAGGCCGAAGGGGGGTTGAGCGCGCGAGGGAAGCTGAAAGGTCCAGCCTCCAGCCTCCAGAGTGACAGAGCCGGTCGAATGCAACCAATGCCAAAATACGAGCAACTTCTTGCATGCCTGGGCCCTGGCATGGCTGGCATGGCTGGCGGATGTCTACCTGACGTACCGACGGGGCTTGGTGGGAGGAGAAAGAGATAGAAAGGCTCTTCATGCATCTGCAGGGCGTCTTTTTTTTTTTTGTTTTTTGTTTTGTTTTTGTTTTCCCTTTGAAAATTTCTCTCCTTCAAACACCAACAAATTGCAACCCGCGATCTTTGTGAGCGCAGCTGTTAGCGGAGCTTTGAAGATCTCCTGGGCGTGTGCATCCCCAGCAGCCAAGAAAGCAACCCCAGCCAATCGCTACACCTCCAAAGTCCAAACCACGTTTGTTGTCGAACCCTCCCGAACCAGAACTTCAACAACGGGTACCCGCGCAATCTTCGCCGAAGAAAAGGGACAAAAACAAAGGATTCCAAAAGACGGGCAACAAAGCCAAAGAAAGACATTACACAATGGCCCCCTTTCCATTGAATCTCGGGGTTCCCCACATAGACGCCGCCGAACTCCTCTCCCACCTCAAGCAGCTCGCAGCGCCATCGCCAGTGGCCCCCGCGCCTACAGCTGCCCCAACCGCCGCCGCCGTTCTCGAAGACCGTCAATACTATGGCTCCGTTCCGGCCGCGCCCAACTACGGCTCCGTGCCGCCCAGCTATATCTCGGCCCAGCACCCCACGGTAATCTACACCCAAGGACCGGCCGTGACCGATACTGTTACCACCACCGTCTTCCCTCCTGCCTCGGGCGTTTCCTCTGCAACCTCGTCCGCCACCGTCATCCCAGTAGTTGGCGAGACGCACAATCACGACGGCGGCCTGTCGGGTGGCGCCATCGCCGGCATCGTCATCGGTGTCATCGCCTTCCTCATCCTCTTGGCCCTCCTCTTCTGGTGGCTTGGCGCCTGCGGCAGGAGGAGGCGTCGTGATGATCATTACTACCATGAGGACGTTATCTCATCATCCGCCTCGTCCAGCTCTGGTGGTGGCGGCGGCGGCGGCGGTGCTGCTTATATCTCGCGCCAGACAAGGAGGACGGAACGTGTCTATGGGAGCAGCGGCGCTGCGGCGGGAATGAGAGGCGGCGGCATGAGCGAGACGGATAGTAGTGTGAGCAGTGTCAGCATGTGCTCGTGTGGATGCGGAGCGGTGGCGGGCGCGTGCAAGAGGGAACAGAGGCGCCATTCTAGGCACAGGTCCGGTTCCAAGCACGTGCATCACTATCGGAAGGTGTCGAGACATGAATCGAGGCACAGGAGCGCGTCGAGGCACGAGGGTCGGGGGAGGAGTGTAGGGGCGAGCGAGAGTGAGATGAGGGAGACGCCGAGGGTTTATAGGTACACAAGCGAGAGGGAGAGCAGGTAGAAGCATGGGTGGGGGTGCGTGGTGATGTGGTTACGAATAGGTGACCATGAAGCTTTGCGCTACCGTGCAAGACGTTAGTCCGGGGAAAGCAGCTTGGATGGATCATGATAAATAAACCTTGAAGAAATGACTGGGACGATGGGGATATGGATGGAATTTGGATATATCTGGATATGTATGGGCTTAGCACGATTTGGTGATTCTCGATGAAGACAAGAGAAGCAGGACTGGGAAATGAGAGACGGATTCTGATGTATCAGTTGGTTAGTCTGTGAATACCAAGGCAAGACAATTAGCATGACTATATCGTCACTCTCATGGCGTACCTTTTATGAAGGTTGACAGAATCCTCCCCTTCTGTGAGCCTTCCTCGAACGTGTCCTGAACGTGTCCTCTCGGTATTCATGACAACCAACTTCTCAACAGGTCAGGATTCTCGCCATGTGCTTCAAGCCTAGAGGTAGCCAAGTCAAGTGCCTGGCCGGCGTATTTCCCTGCAGACCTGGATAAAGTCAGGGCGGTCACATCAGCAAGGTAGTCCGGCAGACACTCAGGCGCTGAACACGCCAACCAAGGGAACAAATTGTAAAGACAAGTTCGTTGTCCTGCTGGAAAGCCCCAAAATGTCTTTGACCGGGCTGGTTGCCAGCACAACAACATTTTGGGTGCGTTATCGGTGAGTGGCCACAAGGAGCTGATGCATATATCAAGATTTTGGGGCAAGAGCCATCTTGGAACGTTTCGTAATTGCACCCGCTGCATGATGGCTTACCTTTTCAGTTGGCAAGAGCATGTGCCGTGTCAAGTGGTATGTATCGGCGACCGGGACAAGATGGCAGTGACACTTATCCACCAAAATGACTCCTTCCATGTCCTGTTGGAGAAATAATCCTGATCAGGGACAGCGCAAGAGGTCAGTACTTGTGCTTGCTGACAAGCCCAAGGCAATTGCATGCAGCTGCCTGTGTAGAGTCGGAGACGAAACTTCCCCATCGGTCGTCCGCAATGCATTTGCTTGCTGCGAGATTGACAACCAAGGCCAGCTGCTGGCCGTCCCACCAAGATATAAATTCCCCCAGACTCCATCACTTCCAGAGCTTCTGGTAGTCCTCTCCATCTCTCAACCTCTTCCGCTACCAGTGATCCGTCGCCTACAGCCAGGGTAACTCCCAACCAGACACCATGAAACCATTCTCCCTCATGTCGCTGCTGGTCACAGCCTTCATGAGCCTCATGTTGGCCACCACCGCTCTCTCCAGCCTTCCACTCGACAACCGGCGGGGACTCGACGAACATCCCCCAGTCAAGGGTAACCCCCCAAACACCGGCTTCGAGCTGGACTGGTGCAAGTACACAGCCGGCATGTTATTCCAGTGGGATCTCCCGACGTTTATCAAGCACCGCGAGGCAAACTTCAGCCTCGGACGGCTGACATGGGACTGGTCGTCGGATGGGTGTACCCACGTCTTGGACTATCCAGCCGGCTTCCCATTCAAGCCGGCGTGCCAGCGTCACGACTTTGGATACCGGAACTACCAGGTCCAATTCCATTTTACCCCGCGTGCTAGATGGAAGATTGACGAGAATTTCCTCAAGGAGTATGTTTTGATCGACCGCAATCAGCTCTTCAATGGCATCGAGCGAGGCTAACGTATAACGTGTTCTAGCATGAAATTCCAGTGCAAAGGGCACAACATCTTCAACGCCTGCCACTTCATGGCACATATTTATCATTGGGGAGTCCGACAATTCTATAGAGGCCATGAGCAATACCGTGAAAGTGAGCCGTCTCACAAGATGATGGACACGATGGTCGCTTCTGAATCGATGGACGCTGCTGAATCGATGGACGTGTTTGATGGGATGGACGCCGATGAAGCGAGGGACGCTCGCAATCCATATCTTTCTGAAGAGAAGACCAAAGCGTACTACGATCGTGCCGTAGCGCGTTACAACAAGTGCGTCGAGGAAGCCCTGGCACAAGGCATTGACCTTCAGAAATACTGGGCCGCTTAGAGGTTGTCATGGAGCAAGACAAGGTACTTTGGGGCTTTGCAAAGCGCAGATGGATTGGCATACTTGGGTAATCTTTTGGCTTTCAAGTCAATAGATCTCACGGTGGAAGATCAGGTTTCCATGTACAGTGTTAAAAGCTTATCGCTTCCATCAGCCTTATCGAAGGCTTATAAAGGGTGTCCGATCCACACCAGTCATGTGTACAAACTCGTGAACCTTATGTTCACTCCTTTCCTCCTTCTGTTCCTTACTCTCAATCAAGAATCTTTGCCATACATGTCTTCGTTCCATTCTTCCGCTTCAATATATAGTCCAAAGAGCGACTGGTTAGATGGTAAAAAGAACAGCAAGTAAAATCAATCAACAAGTGGGAATCGATTCATTGAAAAGCTGACTAAAAGAAAAGGGAAAAAGCCACATGGTATGGCTTCAATATAACAAATCGTTAGTGCTGTATGACGCGCGCAACAGATAGTAAAAGATCTCAACTCACCCTTCCACAATCGGTATGAACCCCCCTCCCCGCTACAAATTCCCAATAGTCCACAACGTCTGCCCATTGCTCCCCGTAACGGTCACCCACGGCGGCTCCCTCGAGAACGTCAACAGCTGCCCACTGCCATCTGTTCCCGACGCCCAAAGCGGTCCGTTCCCATCGTACATGACAAAATTTCCGTCAATCCCAAAGGCAAGCAAACACTGCGATCCATCCGGCCCACAAGCCGACGAGAACCGACTGCTCGCCCACTTGACCGTCCACACGCCTCCGGTCGTGTCAATCCCAACCACGTTCCCGTCACCCTGCACCTGCACATGAAAGTCCCTTAGCGAAACCACCCTTGAAGTCGACGCATCCACAGACAACGTATTTGGCAAAAAGGATTTCGTGTCCGGCAGCGGCGGCGCCGGATTCGTCAGGCAAAGCCAGTTCGACGCGTTCGTCGACAGCGCAGTAAACTGCGACTGTATGACATTCGGGCCCGACGACCCCGTCACGCCAGCCGGGTAATACACCAACTGCTCCGAATCCGCAAAAGCAGCTTGCTGCACCGCTCCACACCCTGACGCCGAAGCGAACGAGGACGAAGGGGTCGTTACCCCGCTGACCGAGTTACCCGTCACCGTGAGACCACCTAGCCAGCCGTTCATGACGATGGAGAAGCCGACGTTGCCGGTAAACACGTTGTTGGTGACGGTGACTTGTCCGAAATTGGTTTCCGGGTGCGGGTTGCTCCAGACTTGGGAGCCCATGCCGATTCCCAAGTTGATGAAGCTACCTGGCCCGCCGGTGATGGTGTTGGAGGAGACAACGACGCCCGAGTAGTTGCCCGACCAGGTGGGGTCGACCATGTTGATACCGCCGAATTGCAGGCCGGAGGAGGAGGAGGTGATTGTGTTGCGGAGGATGTGGGAGCCGGGGGAGCCGAAGATTACGATGCCGCCGTCTGTGGCACCTGTGATCTACTCATTGTTTTAATTTGGCTTTGTCAGTTCATGAACACTTCCTTGTACAAGATATCTAGGTAGTCTAGGCCAGGGGTACAGATCCTTAGGTAGGTGGTGGTAAGGTAGGTAGGTAGGTAGGTAGGTAGGTAGGTAGGTAGGTAGGTAGGTAGGTAGGTAGGTAAGGAACTCACAGTGTTATCAGTCACGGTCGTATCCATACACTCAATACTCAACCCATCCGCCCACAAGCCATTTCCAAGAGAGCATCACCCCCAAAGTAGCCGGCATTGGGCTGGTTGCCGTCTACCTGGATGTTGAGCACCTTGACGTTGTTTTGCCAGTTACCGCGGATGGCTGAGGTGACGGTGCTGCCTGGCTGAATCAGGATGGTGGCCCGGCTGGAATCGGTTGGGTAACCCTGGGTGGATAGTTCCTGTCCCGGAGCAGTGAAGACGACGGGGGCGGTGATGGGAATGGTTACTCCCGGGCAGAGTGAGACGATGGTGTTGGCACCGCCGGAGGAGAACAGGGCGTTTATGGTCGACTGGGTGCCGGTTGAAAGGCAGGAGGATTGACGTGGGGTGATGGTCATGGCATCATCGGTGGTGTTGGTGGCTTGGGCAGAGCCGCCATGAGCTGCTTCGGGACTGGGTATGGCGTGGGCGAGAGACAGGAAGTGAAAGGCCAGTGGCAGTGCCAAGGCATGGAAAAGAATCTTCATTTTCTTGATCAACTGATGCTAAGTTGCAAATTGCAATTGAGACCTTGCTGTCAAACTGCTCTCAAATTGTTACCATGAGGTTAGCCTCTTATACATGGCCGTTGAGGTCTGATGAGTAAGCTTAAAAAATCGCGGTGAAGCCGGCACTCCAGTGAGATCTTGGGGTCAATATTGGGCTGAGTAATCTCAACGCCAACATTGAACACTATCGACAGCGATGTTACGCAAGCTCGTGTTGACAACCAGGTAAGGTAAGGGGTAGAATCAATCACCATCACCATTGCTATGGGGCTGGCTACAAACAGTAAGCAACAACACCATCACCCCAACAAAGTTGGTGCCTGGACCGATCTTGCTTCCCCGAATGAGTATCCATAGAGATCATTTCCACAATGGGAACCCCATGGCACCGTATGCGAACATGGAAACAAACAGCCACCCAAAATGCTACGCCAACTGATCTTCAACCGAGAGCCCAGCTTGTGTCTTTTCCATCTTCTTTTCTAACGTCGCAGCAGCGCAGGATATCGGACGACTATACACCACAAACTTACGGAATGATCACTGTGAGGTTGTACGTCTGACCTGGCTCGATGTCCTTGACGTGAGGCGCAGGCAGGACCTCGTCGCCATTCCTGACAGTGACCTCCTTGACACTGCCACGACGAATGTCGACATTGAAGGTGGCGCCCCGGAACTCGCGAGTGACCTTCATGCTGTTCCAGGAGCTCGGTAACTGTGGCCGGATGAGTAGACCTTTGCCATCGCCGCGCAAGCCACAGAGCCCTTCGATGATGCAGCGGTAAACCCAAGAGATGGTACCGGTGTTAAACAACTGACTGGACCGCCCAGCGGTGCGTGGGAACTGCTTCCAGGCGCCTCGGTAGTAGTTGGGAATGTAGATGGGCAGCTGGCCTCGTTGAATATAGTCGGCGTCAGTAGGACCAGGGAGCATTTGCCGTAACAGGGTAAATGCTCGGTCTTGCTGTGCTCCAAGCTCGTACAGGCTATGTATGAAGAAGATTCCAGCGTGGTTGTACACAGCGGCGTTCTCGGCCGAGCCAATGGCCTTTTGCGTTACGCGACCAACATCCTCGCGCATCTTGGTGTAAGGGGGACCGAACATCTGGATACCATATGGTGTGTTGAGATGCGAGTCAATTTGGGGCAACATCTTGTCAATCTGTTCAGGGCTGGCAGCACCGCTGAGGATGGACCAGGACTGGGGGTTCAACCAGATGCGGCCTTCCTTATCCTCCTTGATGCCAAAGACAACATTGTCGTCAGTGATGCCGCGAGCAAACCATTCACCGTCCCAAAGATGCTCGTTTGCAGCAGCGTTGCATGCGTCGGCACCCTCACGGAAGCGCTTGGCGAGATCGGTCTCGCCTTCATGATCGCAAACCTTGGCCCAAATGTTGAGGGAAAAGGCCGTGGCTAGAGTGAGCCAGCCAGAAACACCCTTGCCCTTGTAGCCCACCATGTTCATGGGATCACACCAGTCACCCTGGGCAATGTAACTCAGACCACGAGGGTCACGAGACTTGAGCAACCAGTCCATAGCACGGCAGAAGCGCTCGAAGACGGTGAACTCGTCGCCGTTGGCACTCGGCACTTTCTCCTTTAGCAAGCTGTAATCACCGGTCTCGTTGAGGTATGCCTCCAGTGTAACTGGCAACCACACACAGTGATCAGTGTGAGGTACCTGGTTAATGTATTTGAGCTCGGCACCCTCAACCAAAAGGATGCCGTCGGGCATGGCGCCGGTAGCTTCTTGCTGGGCAATGGCTGTGAGGAAAGCCCTGCGGGTTACTTCGGGCTTGATGTAGTTCATGCCCATGTTGTCCTGTAGGTAGTTGCGAGTTTGTGGATCAGTGGTCAAGCGGTTGACATCGCCGTGGTAGTAGACCTGTCGGGGCAGCCAGTTGTTGATGAAGTTGTCGAGATCCTTATCTGGGGTTTCCACGTGGAGACATCCGCGCCCACGGGCCATGTAAGCGGCGTAGTCAGCTGCAGTCTGTTCGAAACCTTCCTTGCTTAGGTACTTGGACCGCAAGGCTCCGATCTCAGCTTCATCATAGGCGGGGCCAAAGAGGAACCGGTACTCTTGTTGCTCGCCCGTGTCAAGAGCAATCTTGTATTGCACAGCTGCCGTGGGAGTTTCGTACCGCGCATCACTGCCGCTGAGATTCCTGTCTTGTAAGGCACTGGGTTTGTGAAGACCACCCTCACCTTCGAAGACTTGCTGACTGGCTTCCCAGGAGTCGGGAGGGATCTCACAAAGGAAGTAAGTCTTGTCCTTGAGATACTTGTTCTTGAAGTAGTCGGCGGCCTTCTGGTAAGGGGTGACACAGCTGGCAACAATTCCGTTGAGGTCATGATTCCACTCGGCCGACTGGTTCATCCACGACATGTATCCAATGGGGAAGTAGGGGGTCACACTGAGTTTCCGAGGACGGCTTGAAAGGTTTTTGACTTTGATGGTCCAGAGTTCGGCAACATGGTGGGTGGGGAGGCCCATGGTCATCTCCACGCGAACTCCCATCGACTCAATGACCCAGAAGACGTCAGTCTTGCCGGCGGAGAAGACAAAGCGGTCGTGTGGGGCGCGGACGGGTTCGTAGGGAGCAGAGAAAAGCTGGCCGGTCTCCTCATCCTTGATGTATACAAAGCGGCCGGGATGGTGGGCGTAGTAGTTCGGCTCCGGTTGCATGAAGGTCTTGGCCTCGATATTGGGCGCATAGGCGTACTTTGCAGGCTCGGGCTGCATGAACTGGGCAGTCGCAAAACCACGGCAGGTGATCTGAATCATCATCTTTTGATTCCATAGAAAGCCAGCGGCCTTGGGCATGGCTGTGGGGTTGGCAAGTTCACAGCGCTCGCCGCCATGGGTCGGGCGGACCAGAGTTGCTATTCTCCTCGTCATCTCGGTTGTGTGTGAAGTTTGGAGAGGGAGAGAAAGGAGACGTGCCTGAGGAGTCAACGATAGACAGGAGAGGATAACAACAAAAGGAAATACAGCTTCCAAATCTTGAGGTGGTCTTTGGCGGCTTTTGTGACTTTTGGACCCAAGGAGGATGTAGTGTCGTCAAGGGTTCAACAACAGAACCTCGGGGTGTGGCATCTAGCCTGCTACCCCAGGCCACTCAAGCAGCTAGCATGGTCAACGGTCAGGGGGAATACATAGCCACTGACCGTTGAGAATTGCCCTCGAGCTTCGATGACTACGGAAACAGTATCCGAGCCCAGCCCCGACACCTAAATAATATCCCGGATTCGCCAGACCTGGATATCAAATCCGAGCACTTTCCTTTTGGCTGTCAGCTGACCAGTTCAATCCTCTTGACTCCGAACAACATTTCAAGACAGGCGTATTTGGCAAAAAGCAATCAGGCCTCCTGACGTAATCCTAAAGGAGCGTCATCCGGGAGATTAGACGGATTGCATAAACGAGCTCACCGCCCTGTGTTGACACTTTCCAGACTCCCACTTGGGCGGGATGTGTGTAGCATTGCGTGGTACCTCGATCATGGTTTGGGCTGCTTGGCCTCGATGCCGAGAAGTTGAACCTGCTGCCTCCACAGTGCCTCTAGCGTTGTTTGGTGTTGCTGTGCCTCAATGAGCCGTCCACAACAATAAAGACGGAATAAGAAATGCGGATGCCCCTAACACAGGCATGGTGGTTTTTGGCATCGAGGGCGGGGATGTCTGCTGTCTGTAAATCCACAGCTCAACTAGCTTCGAATTTGTTGATGTTTCGCTCCTGGCATAATGGTGGACGTGGTTCGGGATTGGTGACGCCTGAGACCAGACGTTGGTGATGTTCGAAGGAAAACGATGCTGTCGAATATTTTGCGCTGCAGTTTTTTTGGTTCACAAGGGCAGGTGTGCCCCCCGCAGTGCAGCGGTTCATGGCCTGAGTGTGGGTGGGTGGGTCCTTCCCCAGTCCAGATCTTGGCCCCTTGTCTTACTCCACCTCCACAAGGCCCAACCCCCCGCGTTCGGCAACTTCGTTTTTGTGAGGGGAAGAGCACCTCCCACAAATTTGTGAATCGAAGACCGCAATATTCCTCCGTGTTGAGGTTATCCGAGGGTTCATGGAGGTACGAATACAGAGAAGACGTATTGGCGTTTCGACACAAAACGAAGTCCCTTTCTACATATGAACCATTGGGCGTTGTAGAGCGACTGAGAAAGAGATGCACCCGTCCACAACTTCCTAACGTCATTCCCGTTGTTGCTGTTTTTATACATCATATGATTTGAAGAGATTGCCCCTGCGGCCCTGCAGGCTTGGTCAGCCACTGTTTCCTTGGGAGGTACAGCTGTGCTTCGGCCCAATCGTGGCAGGCGCGATGGAAGCTTGGCCGAACATTCTGTGTCAGCCAAATCGGTGAGACAGTCTGGAGGGACGGGAAGCACGACAGGACAACGGGTTTACGCTCTGTTACTCTCGATCATAGTCATCTGAATATCACGACCTCTCAAAGATTTATCTTCGAAAAGCTGATCCGTTGTCTCGACCATCACCGTCTCAAATAACCCTTCAAAGGTCTTCCCATGATCTCGAGATTCATCATCTACTTCTTGTGTCGACAGTGACATCACGGAATTATAATCCTGATCACTCATCAAAGAGGTTGCAAATGTACACTGCAATTCAGGCCTGCATTTGCGGGGCTGCGGCAGGTCGAGAGTCCGTGGACATCCATGTAAGCTTCCATCAGTCGCAGTCCTTTTTCATTGTGGGAAGCCCAAAATCAGCGGCATCGGACACCCATCAACCTATTCAGACCACTTTCGGGCCTCCAAACGTCCATCGCCATGCCTCTAACAATCTGACTGGCCCAGTTCTGTCACATTAAGGATGTCTTGTTTGTGCCCATGGGCTATTCCAAGACGTCTGGGTTATATGCCCAACCATCGGTTGCATCGGCATTCTGATATTAAAACAGCCTGTTCATGATTTCGACTTGTCACTTGTCTTACGGAATTCCGGCCTCGAGATACAGTTGATGTTTGGAAGATTATACACTAGAACAAGTTATGTTGACGTTGTCCCTGTCAATGGAGCTCTGGGGTTGACCGGGGTTAGACCGGTCCACAAAGGCGTCGATCCCTCTCATCTCCGCATAGGGTCCCACCTGGCGTCGGATCTCGGGCCGGGTGGGTCTTGTTCCCCGTCACTTCGGGAGTCAACTCCGGGGTGGGTCCCCGGCAGAATGTATCGCTCGCTGTCTTTGCTCCATCTGCAACGACCGGGGTAACGGAAATGCAATGAACGTCGTTCCCGACGTCTGCCACTGTCCGCCATGCTCGCGCTCCCGGTACGTATCTTTTATCTGTACATACAATCCTCCAGCCTCCTTTCGGGCTGGATGGTTTTGCTTCTGATGACTAACTTCAACATCCCCTCAATTTCCAGCGAACGCTAGTGGCTTGAATGAGCTAAAAGAATATCCGGATCAGAAACACCCCGAACCCGCCAGGCGCCAGCTGAAGCCATCGTCAACTGCCGTGATTGCCCAACCTCACTTGCCTTGGGTCCGTGAACGCCACGAACGTCGTGTGCGACCTCTGCCACCAATTATCACGACAGCCGACAAGATCCGCCATCCTGCCGCCGAATGTCAGTCTCCCGCCCGCCCGGTCAATGGAACTGTTTCATAAATGGTGGATGCGCCACACAGTCCCATCGTGGTGATCCTTGGGTTGATGTATCATCCGGGACCCGTAACCGGACGCAATGACCACCGGACGGGACCGATGCGAGACAAACATCTGCCCAACTGTCACTACATTCAGTCTCCTACTCGTCTACCGAACAAACAAAACGACTTCTCACCTGAATGGCATTAGGACTTTCAGGCAGGTATGCATTTTTGTGCAACTTAGCACCCAGGGAGACCCAAGGTGATGTACAAACGATCATCTTGACAGCAGCCACTCACCATGCCGACGAGCAGGGTATGAAGCGTGATCCACAGGTACCCAATGCGCCCCAATATCACGATAGTCCACTTCAAAGTAGCCTCTCACATCATGGAAATGGGCAGATCCGGTATTTTATATCGGCGCTTGTCTGTGTGTTCCAATGACTTCTTTCCCAATCAAACGAGCTCATGCAGGGTATCATAGAATTAGACCTTGTTCGCCGGCGCTAACAGCAAAGAACCTCAAAGAATAGCATAGGATGTCCACGTTGTCCGCCATCGTGAATCGTCCATCAAATCATGGCAACGATCCATACTCCAACAGCAATTAAACACATAGGCGACTATCTTTCGTTTTTCCCCTCCTCAGACAGGCGAAACCCTCTCCATCCTCGCCCCATTGCCCGTCAGATCCTCCATACTAGTCGTATCAATCTCCATCTCCTGCGCCTTCGCTCTCGCCATCGTTGCCGCCCAACTACTACTTCCCGCTGCCCCTCCACCTCCCGACCTCCTGCGATTGGAATCCCCTCGCCTCGCTGACATCCTGGTGCTTTCCAGAATGATTCCATCATCATCATCTCTCTTCTTATTACCCCTACTACTCCCCACACAGCAGCCCATGCACCTGTACTTCACCACGTCAAACACCTCGGCCACCTCGGCGCCCAACTCCTTGCACGCCGCCCACGACGTGACCACGTAGATGATGGCGTTCCAAAACCCCTGCAGCGGCAAGACAAAGGCACTGGCGAAGAATAGAGGCTTGGAAACTTCTCCCCTGTTGATCAAGGTGTACACACGGTTGCCCGAGGACGGGATCCAGGTGATGAGCAAGACGGCAAAGAAGAGGATGGCGCACTTGGTGTAGGACCAAACGGCATTGTGGGCTTCGTGGACAAGGCGACGCTGGGCTCGGGCTTGCATATTGGCCGCCGTTCCCGAGCTGTTGCCGGCTGAGATGTGCACGATGGTTCGCTCGTTGTTGTTGTTGTTGTCGTTGTCGATTGTTGATGTTGTGGTTGTTATTGTGCCGGTTATACCGCCGCTGTGGGGACGATTGGTGGTGATGTCGGTCTGGGGTTGGGAGCTGCGCTTGTTTGATGAGTGGTTATGGTTGTCGGAGGAAATGGTAACGGTTACGGAGCATGAAGCGGGGACCTTGGCATCGTCGGCTAGGGGAATCGGGGTGTGTGGGAATATTACGTCTCTGTTGGCAGCGTAGCCGTTGGCGGTCGACGGAGGGGAGATGATCTCGGTGGTTTGGGTGACTTTGGTGGTCTTGTAGTTGTAGGCTGGAGCAAACATGTCGACGAGGGTACCGCCGTTGGAGCTGGAGCCGAGCTTGCTCATACTACGATGCTTCTTGTATATGTCACGGCCGGCACGGATGTAGATGGTGGTTGCTACCGTGATACAGAGCCTATGGAAGGGCATGTTAACTTTCCCTCATGCTGGGGTTTGATTTTGGATGGTTAAAAGGGGACTCAACGTACCAGACGGGCACATAAAACGTGGCAATACGGTAGACTTCCCATTTGCTGCTCAGCCAGCACCAGAGGATTGCGTTTCCGTATGGCCTCTCGCCGTGTTGCCTGATGAAGATGAAGGTGAAACCGGAAATGAACGGGACGCCGTAGCAGAAGAGGAAGTACGGAATCTCCATCTTCCTGAGAGCTCTTCCGTCGAACTGGTGGTAGAAGGTGAGATACACGTTGATGGCCATTGCCAGAGCCCAGAAAGCATCGCCTTGCATGAAGCTGTGGTTGTAGCAATTGGAGTTAGCAATTTTTTCTCTCTTCAGTTGAAGACACAGGAAAGGGTGATCGAAGAGCAGATAACCTCTTTCTTCACCTCCCCATGAACCAATTACTCACACCTGAACCAGAAACCCCTGAAATTGACATCCAAACGAGTTGATATGGTCCGTAAATGACGTAGTCATCAGTGTAGCCACGTTGGTGAGGATGTTTCCGAAAGTAGCAAAGAAAACCATGCGGTTGATAGCACGCTGACGGAAAGCATCCGAAACAGAGAAGCTGGTGATGACGAAGAGGCCACCTAAAAGCGACAGGGCGGAGCAGACGCGCTCGATGACGACGATCGACTCCGTATCTTCCGGGGTGATGACCATGGTGACGGTGCCTGTCGATGGCTGTGAAGCGATGTTTCCCGGCCTGTTGTCGAACTGTTCTTCAGTTCGATAAAGTACATCAATGGCCAGTGATAGATAGGGTCGAGAATGCGATCGGTATCAGGTACCCGGGGGAGGTTGACCTGTCGAACGACCAGAGGCCCGCATGCAAAGTCGGTCCAAATCCTGTCGTCAATGGTGGACCTGAGACGTGGTTGACTGCAGGTACATCTACCACACAAATGAATGGAGGTTGGCCGCCTTCGAATTGGAATCTGGGGAAGTGGAGACCTGGATGGCCCGTGGAGCCGAAGTGGCGGGATGAAGCTTGCTTGCTCTCTCAGGTCTCCGCGTGAATGCTAGGTTATCGTCCGCAAGGGGCTGAAAGGTGGGAGAGAGCAAGAACCGAATGGTTGTTCTTCTCAAAAAGCATCGCAAGTGACCCTCTCCTCGAATTCACGATTGACCTAGTAGTCAGGCTGTTTTGGATGTGTCCAATCACGACGCAACCCGGCATCGGCGGCCGTTCAAAAGAAAGAGGGAAGAAAAGGGATGCAGGAAAGCCAGATTTCGGAAAGAACTGCAAAAGCACTCAAAGTATGAGGAGACTGTCAGTTTTAGAAGAAAACGAATGCAGGCACTGTCCGGGATGCTGCAGTGGAACGCTGAAGGTACAGTAGCAGTGTCGGGCGTAGCATCAAAGTAATTTCGTTACAGAGCGAGACGTTCCTGAGTTCGGTTTGGTATGTATGTCAAAGCGCAATTGCTTGGCAGCCATGTGGGGACGTGGAGAGCTATGCCATGCCTTATTCAAGATGGACAAATCCCTTGTTCCCTGTCGAGGGCCTTGGTCCACCACATCCTTCGAAGGTTCCCTCTTGAAGCTAAAACCCGAGCGAAGGCAGAGTACCTACATGGCAATGCAAAGTCGCCGATCTGACCACCCAACTGCCCAGCTTCTGGAACGCCACTCAACCGCTTGGGCTAGACGGTTCACACGTTTCGAATGAGAGACAGGGACTCGGGAATGCCACTAGGTGGTTGGAGTGCTGTCGATAGCATTTATCAGGATGATGCGAAGTTGGATGGTGATCAGTTGTATTTCCAACTACCTCAAGTACATAGGGGATGCGGAGCGGAGATGGCCTCCAGACACGTATCGCGGACCAAGACCCCTGGAGAAGGCTCGGGGAAGAAGAAAAGGGTGAGGGGTTCGGTGTAGTAGTCTATGGTTAAAGAAGTTCCTGTCATTGATCTGCCGTCCTCATTTCTTTCCTCGGTCTTGGGTTGAAGAATGGAAACGCAATGAGTGATCGATCGTGTTTTGCAGTCGGACATTTTAACCGCCATGAGCCAGAAAGCCCCGTGTCTGTCTTGTCTGCGCTAGCCAAGCCACAGATGGCCCCTGGAACGGGAGAAGGTGCCGTCCTTACCTCAGCATCAGCGTTGAGGGTGGTAGGACAATGACGAAAACTGTACAAGATGCTGCGCCATGACAAGGCCTTCTTCAAACCGAATCCATGCTGTTCGATTCGCAGGAGCGCGATCATTGAAAGAGTCTAGAAAAGTCTGGGTTCGACACTGTTGGGTTGTCAGTGTCAAGTGGAAGAAGGAACTTGGTAATCTGGGAACGTCGAAAAACCGTAATCTCTTGTGATTCCTTTCCATTGCTTGGACGGGGGTACACTTGACCCAATCAGTTCCATGCTGACCAAGTGATCGACCACAGCAGAGCCCAGAACAGACACGCTAGAGTTCGCGAGGTTCCAATGCATGGAAAAGACGAGGGTTCCATGCAGAATTTGTAACAACGGCGTCTACCATCGGAGACGGGAGTTGTTGTGCGTTGGGGACAGAGTGAATGACAAGAAATGGTTTTTTTTTTGGATGATGGTGCCATGGAATGCCCTTGAGCTGCCACAAGGTGGGATCTTGGCCATGTCGATCGTGAGTTTGCTACGGGTGAGAAAATGAAGAAGAAATTTGCATTGTGTGGACAGCAGAAATGAAGAGCAGAGTAGTTGGTTAGTGCGAGAGCCTCCCCCTCCCTCGTTGGGTAGAGGTAGGTAACGGTAACTCGACTCGCCAATCAGGTTTCCTGTCTGTTTCCCCAACTCTGAAACCTGACCCCCCCCCCCCCCCCCCCCCCCCCTTTTTCTATTCCAAATTCAACGGCGGGGGTAATATTGCCCGTCGAGCCAATTCGTGATGGGTGGTCAGGGTTAGGGCTGTTGGTGACCCCATCATCTTGCCTACTAGTGCATGTAGTTCCGGCAGCTACATAGTACATACACTAGTGCAAGTCAACTCGACTCGACTCAACTCGACTCGTCGAATGAACCCAAACAACAAGCTTTAAACCCCAAGTTGAGGTTTGTCGTTGATTCCTTGGTGTCGGCCTGCGCCGGACCATGCCGGGCTTGGCGGTAATACATCGGATATTCACGGCTCACGCTACTGGACAATATCTTGTGACTCAGTCAAAAGAAAGAACAAAGATGGACTTGATCAAGGGGTAGTCCGACGCTTTTCACATGTGTTATTAATAGAGATGTTGTGGTGACTGCTGCTCTTTTCTTGACCTGACGGGAATGACCATCGATCGATCGGCCCGCATTTCTGTGGCGCCGGGGTTTATTGTCTCATCCGCCCTGCTTCCGTTCGGGCCGTGCCACTGACAGATGGGAAAGAAAACGGGCAACCAACGAATCTCCTGTATAGCCTTTTTCTTGGGCCCTTTGTTTTAGTTCCCATTCCAAAGGGGTTGAAAGATCCATGCCCAGCGGTCAAGCAAGTTCAAACCTATTGTGCCAATCCCCTCCTCCATCTATCTCATGCCTTTGTTGTTCCACCGCCCCCAGCTCTGACAGTCGCGCCTTCTCTTTTACCTCCGCACCCTTCCAGGTACCATCGAGCTCGTTCCTACACGGCCTCGGGCTGTCTTCCAACTCTGCTTTGAAATACGTCGTCATTGCTCCCTTCTCCTGAGTTTCTCCTTCTCCTTCTCCTCCTCCTCCTCCTCCCCCCGGACTAGTGCTGTTAGCAGTAGAAGCCGAAGCTGTCGCCGCCGCCGCCGCTGCTGTCAATTGGCTCTTTCTTCGCCTCCAGAATACCCAGAATGCCAGAGCGGCCATGACGATGCCCAAAGTGGCGGAACCAGCGGCGATACCGGCTATTGCACCGGTGCTTAGGCCCCCTCGGTCCTTCTTTGCGCCTGGACTCTCTGCTGTTCCTGATTCGATCCCTGTAGCTGGGCCGGTGGGGAGGACGGTGCCCGAGCTGGTGGATGTCGCGGTCAGGTCAGGACCATCGGCACTCTCGGTAGCTGTATGGTTGTTCTGCGGCAAGCCAGTTGTCGATATACCTGTCGCGGAAGTCACTTGTGTCGAGATTGTGGAAGAGGATGCGTTCGAAATATCATCGGCGTCAATGGGTCCACCGTCAAGCCCAAAAGGCGTAGTGATAGGTTCTAGGCGCTCAACGTTGGTAAACTTGAATGGGTAGCCATATCCAATCATGGTTTGGTTGCTGCTCCCGCCATCTGTCCCATATCCCGCAAAAGCGCACTCAATCACTTCTGCCAAATCGAACATATCGAGGAACGGGAGCGGATAAGCCTGTGTTTCGTTTAAATACCAGTGATTGGTAATCAAGGGCTTCTTCACTATGGGCACATACAATTCAAGCGTTAGAGTACTGGGGCCGAGGAGCAGCATCATGGTTTTCCAACAATTCTCAAACAATACCACTTCCTTGTGACTTCTGGAAGGACACAAAGTGGTTGTTTCCCTCCGTTTGCAGACTTGTAAAGGCATAGATTGGGGCCACTCACCGTTCCGGGCATTGCCTATTGTATCAAATGCATCAACACCTCCATCACCGAGGTACTCGCGGCCGCCGAATGGCCAGTTTACTCCGTCGTTAGATCTTGTACAATAGAGATCCACCTCTTTAATCGCAGCATACTGACTGATTACCCAGGCCACGATCAAGATGTCTCCTTCCCAATATTTGGCCCTTTCTTGCGTCGCTTCATTTTTGAACTTTGGGAACGTAAGTTCGATCTTTAGTTCAGCTTGAACGCCAGTTAAGACGACGCCCAGCCAGAACCACAAACTAGCCTTTGTCATTGTCGATAGTGGGTGCGATGTCGAATGGAATATGGCGGGGCGACAGAAGATATGAGTTGCCGACGAAGCAAAGCCAGTGAGTGCATCCGAGACGGACTACAAAGCACGCTCAGGCACCAGAAGGAAGAACCACAGATGAACTGAATTTTGACCGGACGAGTACCAAAGGCCCAAGGCTTTTTATAACTGGATCGGTGCCACTAGGGGGCCCTTCACAGGAAGAACCACTCACATCCGCAAAAGCAAACAGTCTCACACCACCCAATCAGTTCGCTGTCCTTGCGGCTTCCTACGTGTACACCAACCTGCGGCATCAAGATCCCACAGTGGACGTGCTGGCAGGCCCATCAAGGTAGGATTGTGATCCATGTTGTAGAGCAGCGCAAAGCGGGGTTCCTCCTTATCTTCTTCTTCCTCTTCCTCCTCTTCAAACCTGAAAACCTCGCCGCCATGGCCGTGATTATCGCGGATATCCACTGTGTATCATGCTAGGAGTTGCCCCAAGGCAACCAACAAAGTAGCCAGCCGCTCAGCTCATGCACTCATCCAATGTTCCCGACTGTCGACCAAACCATTGAGCCAATCTCATGGAAGCTGAGAGTTATTGGAGGAAGGCGTGGCAAGAACTTTGAGGTCGCTGTATGGAAAGAGGGGAAGAAACCCAAAAAAAAAAAAAAAAAAAAAAAAAAAAACAAGGCTCAGGATAAGTGGCACCATGCAGAATACTGTAACGGTGACTGCTGGATGGGCCGCGTTTGGTACAGTGCGGCAAAAATTTCCAGCAACTCAGCAAGGAGGTGAGAAGGGAAGTCCGAGTATTTGCGATGGCTTGAACTCTGAGACACAACAACGAAATGAAGATCACGAGTAGGGATCGGGCCGTTGATGAAAGGGCGGACAAACCACCCCCATGGGAAACTTGTATCTGTAGACTTTCTTAATCATCACGCCACTACCTATCAAACAAACCTAACCCTCGCACTACCTTGAGCTCCACTACCCCTACAGGAACCCATCCAAGCTCGCCTTAATCTGCAACGCCACGACTCTCGAATAATACCTTGCCAACGCCAGATTTCCTCCGTGAAACCAAAACGCCTCATGTCCACTCCTCGTCCATATCCCTCTCATCTCCCCTTCCTCATTCCATCCCCACACATCACCGACCTTGTCCCCTACTTGCTCGTTCCCAAACACCTCCCTGGCCGTTGACCGCATATTACTATACCCCGTAGCGAACACAATCTCATCGGCCTCCAACACCTCCCCATCCTCCATCTGCAAACCCTTCTCCACCACCGCCGCGATGCCCACCCCCGACTTGACGGCAATCTTGCCCTCAACAATCAACTTGGAAGTGCCGACGTCGATATAATACCCGCCCTGCCGCTGCAGATACTTGGCAAACAGACCCGCGCCATCAACGCCCTTGTCCAGCTTGAACCCAGCTCGATCCAGCCCCGCCAACAACTCGGCGTCGTGCTCAATCGTCAGCTTGGTCAAGTCCTGCTGCAGCGTCTTGAGCACCTCGCTCGGGTGCGACCAGAGGAACAGATCGGCGTCTTCCACCGCCGGCCCGCCCTCGCTGTAGAGCGGGCCGATGAGGTACTTGAGCGCCGCAGACGAGGACACGACAAAGGTCGAGGAGCGCTGGACCATGGTCACGTCGTACCCGCGCTCGTAGAAATCCTGGCAAATGTCATGGGACGAGTTGCACGCGCCGACGACGATGGCCTTTTTGGAGCCGCGCTTGGCGAGCGGGGTGGCGGTGGTGAACTGCGAAGAGTGGCAGAGCCGGTCGCCCTTGAAGACGCCGCCGGTAATGCCGGGGATGGAGGTCGGCATGTTGGGCTTTCCTGAGCCGCCGGTGCATTGGATAATGTGTTTGGGGTAGACGGTGAGTTCCATGTGTTCGATCTCTTCTTCCACTTGTGCTGCAGGTGCGCCGGCCGTAGGAGGGTTGGAGGAGGAGGAAGGGCGCGAGGACTTGACAAAGGAGCGGCGAATGACCACTTTCCAGGCCTTGCGGGAGTTGTCGTACTCGGAGGAGACAATGGTGGACCGCAGCCAGACGTTGAGGTCGAGCGCTTTGGCGTACGAGTCGAACCAGTCGGCTAGCTTGTCCTTGGGCGTGAAGATGGGCCAATGGTCGGGGAAGGGGAGGTACGGCAGGTGGTCGTACCAGACTGGGTCGTGCAGGACGAGTTGGTGGTACCGGTTGCGCCAGTTGTCGCCGATGCGCGGGTTGCGGTCGATGATGAGCGAGGAGACGCCGAGCATCTTGAGACGGGCGGCGGCGGTGAGGCCGCCTTGGCCGCAGCCTGTGATGATGGTGGTCAGTGGTTGTTGCTGAGAAGCAGATTAAAGGAGGGTACATACCAAGAATCAACACATCGGGCTCGTTTTTGGTGAAATTGATCTCCTCCTGCCTCTTCTGCGCCCAGTTCATCCGTCCTGGCTGGCCACCATGCTCGACGCCCTTGGGCCTATTGGGTCCCTTGGGTTCTGGGTGACCGCGGTACTCGTCAAGAGTGAGAAAGAAGGTCCAGATCTTCCACTCCTCCGTCTTGTGCTCCTGTACCAACCTCACCACACCGCGCCCCTTGCCATTTTGCGATGTAAACGTGATGAAGAACTGGATGCCCTTGAGCCCGTTGACGGGAGCGAACCCACCGACTTGCGGCTTGCGGAAAGCCTGGGACTCGTCGATCTGGATTTGCAGGGGCACTTTCTTGACTTGGGCTTCGGCTTGCAAGAAGTTGCGGATCTTGTCTTTGCCTTTGAGAGTGCGCAGGTCCCAGGTTAGGGCTAGGTGGTCTCGCCAGAAGCCGGCCTGGGAGTCGAGGAACAGGTCGGGGACCTTGTCGAAGTGGTTGTTCACCGTGTCGACAACATTGGCGGCGATCTTGGCTACCTGGTCGGACGTGGGCTCGGTCTTGAAGTGCGCTGGCCAGGGGGCGGGTGGGAGGTTGACGGAGCCGGGCTCGATGCGCTGGCTGGAGGCAGTATCGACAAAGTTGATGGAGTCGACGATGGTGCTAGAGCCCCCCATTTTGCGTTGAGGTGATCTTGATTCGCGCGAGTTCTGCAATGTGACTTGATCAAGGGTGACGGTGTGTCGCCGATGAGCTTCAAATTATTTCCCTTGTTTCCTAGTGAGGTCCAGCCGGTACTACTTATACGGCTCTCTCTCCCCGCCCCGGGTCTTGTTCCCCATACCTACCCCCCATACCCGACCCCATCTCCCCCGCTCGTGTCAATCAGGTCCCCCAAATATGCGGATGGATGTGGAGGAAGACCTAGCTGGACGGGAGTGCAGCACACACAAGGGTTCACCACCCCCTCACCTACTCTGCAGTGGTCAGAGGTCCTGGACAGTCTTGGCCCCAATCCCTTAGTGGTAACCCCTCACTTTTGTCTTGTGGTTTCGCATGAACGGAAATGACTTCAACGGGAAGCTGAACTTGTCAATCCCGTCTGAACGTGGCAATCCTTTGATCCGCGTCGCCTCGGCTTCCTTTGTTTGTATATCCGTCAGCGCCTCCAATACCTACTGTCTGTCTTTTAGTTTCCTACTGGTAGGTACCCTCACGATGTCTGGATATGGTTTATTGATCTGCTTACCCTTTTTGCTTTTTGCGGGGTAGCGGGATCCGGGGCGCTTATTCCGTCCATAAAGTGGAAACCTGTACTACTGCATGTCACAATCGACAGTGGGGGGTCCGTCAAGGTGATTTCTCAGCGTACACTATCTCGTGACCGTGATTTTGAAAGGTCTGGCCAGAGCTTCTCTATACTAGACACTTTTACTCTCCAAAGTCAGTAGAGATAGAGCGACCAGGAACTTCATGATGTCTCGTACCGGGTCACGAGAGGTTCCGCCTTGAGCTTGGTGCCGGCCCAAAGCTGCTCTAGGCATGTATGTCTTGGCGGAGTGGGCACCAACCGACTAACATGACTTCTAAACAGAACGACTAATAAATAACCAGCGTATCTGCTAGTGTGATATCTGCCACCAAGACATGGGCCAGCAAAGCCTCGAAACCCGGCGCCGGCATGACTTCATATTACGCACCGAGTTTATCACATTGAACCACCATTCTCGCTGACAAACAAAAGCCATCTCGTATTTCTATTTGTCCGCGGATTATATAGACAACTGTTGATTAAATTCACACCCATGAACATTCTGAGCTTGATATCCTCCAGCTTCTTCCTTCTTGTACTACTAACCAATTTGTTGCCCTTTCCCCGGTTATCCTCTTCCGGCGAGTATCCAAAATAACAATCTTGAGTTTTAATGCTTCGCCTTGTTGTTTCATCAGTCTTTCCGTCTTCTTCATATCCTTCCCATCACCAAAAACCCGAGCCATCTTCATCTTCATCTTCCAGCTCGTCATCTGCATCATCCGAGAAATCATCAAAAAAGTCATAATCGCTGTCCTGTCCGAGGCTTGTCACACTTTCCACATCGTGTGTATCATCATCATTTGCCTCGTCCCGTTCAACACGCTCCCCATCTTCCCCATCCATAACTGCCGCTTCCCTTCCCTCCACTCTCCCCCCCTGCTCCCTTCCTCTGAGCGCAACCAACGACACCCAAGTTGACCTCGGCGACGTGCCCTCCCCCATAGTCCGCACATTGCTTATCTCCTCACTCTTAACCTCATCCGTCTTCGTCTTCGGATGCGTATCCGTTGAACTGCCCTCCGCCCCCTCACTTCGCTTCCTCGCCTCCTTCTTCCGTGTTAATTCCATCACAAACAGTCGCCCCGCCCACGTGTTTTGGAACGCAACATCATGCTCGTTTGTATAAGCCGCCTGCTGCCGGAACCACTGCATCATCACCTCCGGCTTCTCATGCAGCTTGACCCACTTCCCTCTATACTGGATCGGATTGAACGAGTACACCCGCCCGTACTCGCGCGCAATCTCCACCACCCTCTGTGACCGCTCCATCCGCACCTTCTCGTACGCCCACAGCGCCGTCTCGGCCATCTCGGGAGTGCGGACGTACGTCCTAAACAGATGTGCCAGCACAGCTGCGTCCTCCAGTGCCTGCGCCGCTCCGTTGCCGGCAAAAGGAAGCGCAGCGTGAGCCGCGTCGCCAGCCATGGCCACGCAGCCGCGAGCGTAGTAGGGAGCATGGTCGTGGTCGGCAACGGCCCAGGAAGCCGAGATGTCGGCGGCAACCATACGGACAATCTTTTGAGCCTCGCGTGTGTAGTCTCCATAGAGGTAGGGTTTGAGCACTGGTGTGCCCTGTCCCGGAAGAGAGTTGGAAGGTTGGGTCTGGTAGACAGGATGTGCTTGGGGTGAATTCTCGTGACTGGATGGACGTGTACGGTGAGTGATGAAATCACCGATAGTGGTGTTGTGAAGAGCCGCATACCACACCCACGGCACGATGCCGCTTTCAGAATCAGGGGGGCTGAGAGGGGCAGTTGAAGGGGAGATAGGAGCGGAGACAGGGACGGTGGAGGGGCCGAAAGCGGTGTTTAGTCGAGCAGCGCCGCGAACCGCTACTCCGGCACTGAGCATTTGGCCCTTCTTCATAGGGATGATGTTGATGTGGCCGTTGGGGCCGAGAAGGATGGGTACAGTTTGGGTCAACTTGCGGTCAACTCCCCATTGTTCGATAGCCACCTCTGTCGGGATGAGAGTGCGATAGATCTGCCATCTATCGTGGTTCTTGGGCTTCGTCGCTGGATGATCTTCGCCCAGGATATAAGATCGCACACTCGAGTGTATTCCGTCACAGCCGATGAGGACGTCGGCATGCGCGCGGGTGCCATCCGCAAATTCAATGTGGATGGGGTGGTCATACTCGGCAGAATCCTCAGAATAGGGGGCAACCGAGTCTGTACTAGATCTTTCGGTTCCGGGGTGAGTTTCCCAGACCCTCACAACTTGCTTGCCGAAGCTGATGTTTTCCCCGGGCACCTGCTCAAGGAATCCATCTAAAAGGTCAGCGCGGCTGACGGACTTGCGTCCCCTGGCACGACCGAGCTCGCCAACCTTGAGGCCTTTGTGTCTCCCCGCTGCTAGGATGACTTCGGTTGCCATTTCCTGATCCTCCTGGCCGATTTTGACGGCTTTCTTCTGATAGGCCTTGACAAGCTCCGGATCAATGAGATACATCGCGGCAGTGGCGTTCTTGTGGAGGGACAGACCAGCCCCCACGTCACGGTAAACAGCCATTTTCTCGTAAATGTGAAAGTCTATGTGCCTGCATCCTGAGAGGCCGACTGCGAGAGCGAGGCCACAGATGCCGCCGCCGATTATGGCCACTTTAAGTTGCTGTCGTTGACTTTCTGCCAATCTGGTGGTCGAAGAGCACACCGGTGGTTGAGATGCGAGAGCGTCCATGTTGAATGATGTTGCCGGTTTCTAATTGGGATACAGTAGGTGAAAGACGATGAGAAATCGAGTGTAGGGACCGTCTATGGTCCAAGGCACGGAAAAGTGTACGAACCTCGAAAGTCGAGATAGATGAGCTGGTATGGCTGGTTGAATAGTAGGCTCATCTGAAGGCCAAGGTTCAACAGGGTAGGGTACTCTGGGCAGTCCCAGTGGGACGGAAGAAGTTGGTGATGACTCTGTTGATACGGTTGACTTTGCGATGTGTGATGAGCAATATTCTCTGCAGTCAGAATATCTCTGAGAAATGGTCGACTGATGCTTCACTTTATACCTCACATCCACCAAATCGGAAAGAGACTTTGACCGGCCGCCGTCGGAACCTTTGCGCCATACATCATCACGCTTCTGCTCACCCATGGAATATTGGCCTAAGTCCTGCCAGCTTTTGTGGCAGTGGTCGCAGCTTGATTCTCATGTCGGCTCGGGAGAGTTCGGACAGTCGGTTGATTGTAAATCCAAGTCGCGCAGAGTATCGGTTGGATTCAACTGGAGGGGATACGTCGAATCCAGCGCAACCACATAACATGACGCATGTTCGATGTCTGAAGGTTGGAAATCTGACTTTGAAAGGCTGTGTAGCCTGCGCACTTCCACGCTGTGTGTGTCCAACTCAAGGTAAAAGCTGGAAGGTCTGTCGCTTGCAGCCTCCAATGGGAACCGCAAGGTTCGTGCTTTCTCGCTCTCGTTGATGTGAGCGGCACGGTTGCTTCGAAACTTGACGAAGAGGTACTGTAGGTTTTGAGGCAGCGCATCAATCCTGCTTAACACTGCTGATTCCTGTCGGGAAGTGTGATGTATACTGCAGCTTGGTTTCTGACAAAGGTAAGAGCAATCAAGTCGAATCGATACTGCAGTGGCCAAACCAAATTTTCCAAGTGCGAGGACCTCAACCTCATCCGCAGCAGAAGAGCACATAGTCGGATACCTTCCTGACCCCAGTTCCTGAATATCCAGGCATGGCTGCATCTCGCAGACAGAACCACAACTCTGAAGGCGCAGATCAAAGCGAACTTCCTCGGAATGGCAGAATGGTGAATGATTTCGTAAGCCAGTCTTCGTTTTTGTCGATTTCGGGGATCATGTGATGATGTCAAGCGTTTTTGCTTTCAGCGCTTGCTTCCTGCTTGATTCAGCACTAGGTAATACATACTACGCAGTTCCAAGGTCCTGGCCCAATCGCGTTAACGTCGACCTTGGATTCTGGCTGAGACACCTAACCGCCAATGTGCTAATCCTGTAAAGGAACAAAATGTGGGGAGGTTGTATGCTTGATTTGTGCGAGTTGTCACTCTTGGTGAACCAGATCTACCACTATGACTTGGGGCGTTGATTTTACGACTTCTACTTCCAGGGAAACCTGGCATAATCTCTAAGCATACTGCAACATTCACACAGGCCAGAAGGTGTATACAAGATGGTGAATTGAATGTCTCAAAAGTCAGGTCGATGAAAGGGCAAGACATCAGAAGAATCGAATCTACTGGCTTCGGGGTGGCAACACGTCTCCCTCACGCCTTTTCGAGGGTATAAGATGCATATATTCGGGCAGCATACTTACAGACCATGCCTGATTTCTCTGGAAGTTGGAAATCAGCGCCTCGAGTTTTTCCGGTAGTTCATAACTTTAGGGACTCTCCTTTCGGTTCGAGAACCGCGATTTGTTGTGTCTCGGAGCCCGCCAAGCCGGCGAGGGAATGGGAGAAAAGACTTCTTCATTCTTGATCACGGGTGCCATCGCGAACCACCTAAATCATCGTGCGCGTTCCTGGTGAGTGTTTCTGTGTAAACAAAATTGTTTGTTCGGGAATTGAGACAAAGTCCATGTTTTGACGGAAATGAGCTTTGCGATTTGCCTGGCCTTGCTCCGTGGTCAAGGGAATGGTATCTTGCTAACGATTCGCGATGCCAGCAAAACCGTCATTCCGGAGCCCAATCATTTGGGAAGTCCGTTAACAGAATCCTTCAAGTCGCCATACCTTTCCAACTGATTGGTGCGTGTCGTGTCTGGGAAGGATTCACGTCGTTGATAAGACGTGAAACCCCCCAATCCTCTCGTTCAATGCCTCCATCATCAACCCTACAGGAAGCAACAGTAGCAATAGCCGACCTACTGCTACCATGAGGTCCACGATTTTCCGTGCGGCCGCTGCCTTGATGGCCATCCTTACACCCACCATTGTCACAGCTGCCAACCCCCTTCAGATCCGCGCCCATATCAATGAGCATACTTTATCCCCTCGGGGCACGTTTGCCTATGGCCAGGGAAACACGACAGACATCATCATCCGCACCGAAATCCCCCGCCTCATTCTATATTTCCAGACCACACACGACGAGTCGGGCAAGCCCATCTCCATGCTTCCACTTGTCACCGAAAAGAACATTGCTCTCACGCACCTCATCGTTTGCTCCCTGCACATCCAAAAAGACGGGAACATCACCCTTAATGACCACCAGCCAACCCACCCGCGTTACGGTACCCTCTGGCAAGAGACCCAAATCCTTGGCTATGCCGGCGTCAAAATCATGGGTATGATCGGCGGAGCCGCCGCTGGCTCCTTCACCCCAGAGACGCTCGACTCAGCCAACGAGACCGTCTTCAACCGATACTACGGCCAACTCCACGAGACCATCAAGCGCTACAGCCTCCAGGGACTCGACATTGACGTTGAGCAGCCCATGAGCCAGGGTGGCATCGAGCGGCTCATCCTTCGGCTCCGCGCCGACTTCGGAAAGGACTTTATCATCACCCTCGCCCCGGTTGCCAGCGCCCTGACCATGGGCGGCTGGAACCTCAGCGGGTTCGATTACCGCAAGCTGATGCTGGCGCCGAGCGGCGCCGGCAAGGAAGTAGCCTTCTATAACTGCCAGTTTTACTCTGGGTTTGGCGACGCGGGGAACCCGAACCAGTTCCACCAGATCATTACCGACAACGCACAACGAGACATGCGCGGGGCGTTGTCGCCTACCAAGATAGTCATCGGGCAGCTGACGAACCCGAATAACGGCGGAGGGTTCGTGACTGCCGGCACGCTGGCGAACTCAATTAAGACTTTGAGGGACGCATATGGGCAAATTGGGGGGGTCGCGGGGTGGGAGTATTTCAATGGTCAACCGGGAGGGGTGGAGGAGCCGTGGAAGTGGGCGCAGACGATGACGGCGATTTTGAGGCCAAACCAGGTGCCCAAGCTGAAGTTGACGGTGGAGATGGCGGTCAAGTTGAAAGATGTTTGGAAGGAGAGTGCCGCCGCCGGAATGAGGCAAGTGGTAGGTAACGTGAAGGTGCAACTTGAAGGATTGGAGCCGACGGTGGATTATATGGCCATGGTGAATGCTTAGAACTAGCAAGTGGTGTTACTGGCGTTCTTGTCTGTGTTTGTTAGTATCGATTTTGAGTATAAAGCAAAATAGAGGTCGATGGTGTTGAGAAAAATGCGAATTAGGAGCCTTGCGATTGTCGTGGTCGGACTCTGGGACCCTGATGATGCCGATGACGTATTTGCCTTTGTGGTCCTGCAGATCCCCCATTTCCGCCGCAACAAACACAACCACCAACAAGCACAACTACTTTGCTCACCAACTTCTCAATTCCTCCATTCAACAAACTCCGTCTGTTTTCCATCGTCGAAGTATTCTTGAAAAGCTTCAAGCTTCGAATACAGATTTCGGTTAGCAGCCTTGAACGTTGACTCACCGTCCAATTCTCCCTCCACACTACAGCCAGGCAGTAGAGGTATCATGGCCTGGGCATCCTCGTTTTCCCGCCCGACCAAGTCGGATGCTATCCCGCCCCCATACTACCTCCTCTCACAGTTCCAAAACAATCCCGAAGAGCCGTACTGCAAAGGTTGCGGCAAGCTCATCGACCCCAAGCGCACCTTTGGCACCACTGGAGCTCCCGCGTCAACTGCTGCAAGCCAGAAGCAGGGAGCAGGCAAAAGCAGGGGATTCAAGCGTGGCGGTAAAGACCAGGACAAGGAAGACGAGAAGACAGGCCAACTCCAGCAACAGGAAGTCAGCAGGTTCTGCACGTCGAGATGTCGCAGTGAGTCCCAACACAAGAAGCGGGACGTAAAAGAGCAGGAAAAGCAGATCGAGGAGACGTACGTCAAGTTGTTGCAGGGGCAGATGGTGGACGGGATGGAGCAGCTCGCAGATGGTCAAGCGGACGGAAAGAAGAAGGGGAAGAATGGTGGGGCGAAGCCAAAGAAGGGAGAGGGAAGAGTGGTAACGCTGGAAGAGGTGGAGACAATTGTCTTTGGAAGGGAGAAGGATGCCGAAAAGGTGTATGGGAGAAAGAAGAGCCGGAAGTCGAGGGCGTTGACAAGCGTGGGGCCCAATGACGAGGATCCTATTACCTCTACAGACGAAGAGTCTCAGTCAACCTCAACAAAAGCCGGCAGACCATCGAGTAGAGATTCGGCAATCAGCGGCATCAAGATTGACGCTCTGCAGCTAGACGACAAAGCTTTTGACGATGAGATAGCCCCGCTACCCAAGGGCAAATCCCATCCGTACACCACTGGCGGCCATGAGGTCGCTCGTCTGGCGGTCCGCAGCGGCACACGCATTCGTCCTCCCCAAGAGGTCTCTGAAGTCAACGGCAGCGTGGGCGGAGAAAAGGGCCGGGCGGAGCGCAAGGCAGAAAGCGAGGAAATGAAGGAAGAAATCAGACAGAAAAAAGCGGAGGGGGACAGAAAGGCGCAACAAAAGGAGATGATCAAGTCGGTGGCGAGAAGAGGAGTGGTGTTTGGGTTTGATGTGTCGACTTCTCCCGATGGAAAGAAGAAAACGTGCGAGTGCGTGATGCCAGGAGGCAAGGTCGTCGAGCCACACTTTGCAAAGGGTAATTGGGGAATTCGATGGAGGGGTGACTGAAAGTGCACCTTACCGCGCTTGGACAAGTACAACTAAGTTCGCGGGAGTGATAAAACTATATGTCAGAGAAAACGAATGAATCAGAGACAAAGTACTATGTAGAATGGTGACGACGACGAGGTTGGTGATGAGTGAAGCAAAGTCGCAGCTGCACACGGCACGCCAAGTGGAAGCCCTGGTTCCACACACTAGTTATCATATGTGTCTTATCGATAAGGTGCTTATTATGTAAGCCAGCCGTAGAGGTTAGGTTGTGCAAGTAGCAGTGGGGAATTTCGACGAGCTTCGACCGCAATCGCGTCTCAATCGACATCATCATCATCATCCATCGTCAACATTCGATTTCTTGCTCAACCAAACATCTGAACCCTCTACGGAATTTCGCCCTCTGACTGTCATCACCATCGACATTGATATTGATACTAATCGTCCACTGAACCACCGAATCGCTCAACAACTTCTACAATCACCATGGGCTCCATCGTTCTTCCCCATCTCGAGACCGGCTGGCACGTCGACCAGGCCATCCTAAGCGAAGATGAGCGTGTGGTGGTTATCCGTTTCGGCCGCGATCACAGCCCCGACTGCATGCGTCAAGATGAAGTGCTCTATCGCATCGCCGACAAGGTCAAGAACTTTGCAGTCATGTACGTCTCCCTCCGGCCTCGATCCCACTCTTCCATCAACACCTGCTGACCCTTCGCCATACCGCCAGTTACCTATGCGACATTGACAAGGTTCCCGATTTCAACCAGATGTACGAGTTATACGACGAATGCACCCTCATGTTGTAAGTACTATCTCGGCCTGATCTCCCTTTTAAGTTGCGAGACAGTCTCTGACAATCTTTTGTTTGCACAGCTTCTTCCGAAATAAACACATGATGATTGATCTCGGCACCGGTGACAACAACAAGATCAAATGGGTACTGGAAGACAAACAAGAACTGATCGATATCATCGAGACGGTGTACCGCGGCGCGAAGAAGGGACGCGGTTTGGTGGTTAGTCCCAAGGATTACTCGACCAGACATCGCTATTAGAAGGGCGAATAACGACACGAGCAACAACAACAACGAGAACGATTTCCAAGATATGGCAGACGCAAAACTACGCGGTACGGGGGTTACGCGACGAATTAACAACAAGTTCAAGGCGAAGCGACAGAGGAGGGTGTCTGGAGGCTGCTGGGGATCCTGGCGTTGGTTCCCGTGACTCAGCCTTGCTCTGGAATTCATTTACCACGGGCATTTTGCAGCGTAATCAGATGGATAAACGGCTGTTAACTCGGCGACGAATAAGCGATGGTTGGCTTGGGCCCACGCCGAGCCGCGAGCTGCCTTTGGGGAAATAGCACGCGAGCGTGGAAAACATAAAGGCAAGCGGAACCATATCGATTGGGCATTGAATGTACCTAGCTAATGCTGAGCAGAACCGGGCAGAGAAATTGATGCCATGGCGCTTACCGACGGGGTCCTTGCGATACTGTCCAAGTGCTTCATCGCTGTTCACTGGGCTGCACGTGAATGACCACGGAATGCCATAGGCTGTTTTACAGGCTTGTCCTTTACAAGCCTCGTTGGTGATATCTTGAGGATTCGAAACCGAGACTGGCGCTGCTCGGTATCTTTCTATCGCACCCCCTCGTTACTCGGGGATGGCGAGATCGACAATTGCTACCCCGTTTCAGCGGAATCGCGATATTCGCAGATCTACAGCAGTTCCGTCCAGGGTGCACGGCTGGCAGAACCTTTATGCTATCCTAGTTCTGGGATAGCAAGAGATGGACTCGTCCAACCCCCTAGACAGCATCATTGTCTGTCACTGACCGTTTCATTGGTACAGAAGGATCTGAAACATAAACATTGTTCGCACGTATCACATGTCACCTAATACCCAAAACGAGTGTCACCTTTGTGGCACAGACGGCATCGGGAATGACAAGCAGTGAAAGTACCTCGAACATTCGGAAACCACTCTGTTCTCGGTGTCAGCCTCTTTTGCGATGGAGCTCTTCATTTTTCAATGCCATGCATAGGCGCAAAGACGTTTTCGGGCGGGCGCTCTAAACCCAATATTGAAAGGGGCGTTATGGGTGCGTGTGAAGCGACCGGGCAGCCGTTGGTTTGGGGGCTTTCAGGGGTAAGGGTTGGGGGCGTCAACTTTATTTTCGCCTCACCGATTCCCTCTTCCTCCTCGTCACGGCGAAGAAAGCGATGGGGTTTTTGGACGCTTTGATAAAATGACGAGAATGTCATGCTCTGGAAACGATCCACAACGTCACCGGGATTCCTGGCTTTGGAATGGTAGAAGTGTTGTTCGGCTTCTTCTCTTTTTTGAACTGGTCCATCATGGGGTATCAGGTCTCGTCTTTCCCTTTCCTTTCAAACGTGATGACAACTGAACGTTTCCGTTAACATTGTACAACTGCGGTGAGGGTGGCTTTGTGTTCCAACCATGTGTTTCTTTGCCATCTGGCCATGGACAGCCAAAGGAGACAAACAACCAACGCGCATTGCTACCTACCGATTCAATACACATCATTTCTTCAATCGCATCCTAAACAGTATACTCCGGTTCTCGCATACTCTGCATGCTCATCCTTCCGAATGGCCCTTGCTCGGGATCAGCGTAAAGACTAAAGAGTACCCAAATGGTGCAGAATCGGCAGTGTCAAAACCTAGGTACGTACTACCTCTAGGGTACTGCTGTGTAACTTGGTCTCGAATTCGGTCAGGGGGCGACGAGGGCATGGAGTGGAGGGGTCCAGGTCCAGCTCCCTTTTCCCACCAAGACGGCCCGCCTTCAGGGGTCTCCCTGCCCGCCCGGCTTGCTGCCTCCATTTGGTGCCTGCCCGCCGTAAGGTAGAGGTAGCCGGGCACTGCCGGGGGCCGCTGAGCGTTTATCGCTGCCCGTCTCCGTCAGTGCCGCCCTCGCTCCAGTCCCTGTTCATCCCTGTCTGTCCCTGCACTGGTTTGGCGGTGCCTCCACTGTTTGGCTGGCGACCAGTTTAGGCGGGGACTCGTACGAGACCAAAATAATGTGGTGAAACCAGCTGCACCGTTGATTGATCATTTTCCTGTCGTGGAATCCCATCTTTCTCTCTTCATCCTGTCGAGTCTCTCTCACTTTTGGAGCCGGCCCTCTTCCAGCTGCCTCTTGTTTCAGCGTCATGCGACCGCAGGTTGCGTGATACCTTTTACCCCGCTAATTAGTCCTTCGGTCCTTCGTTTCTTGTTGAAATCTTCCTTTCCACGAAAGACTTCAATCACCGTCACACCTGCCTAGGCAACTGCCATACCAGCTAGGACAGGAACCGCCCTCCTTGCGACAACTTCGACGCGGGGCAGCTAAGAGCGAGTCTTGGAGGCACACTTGTACCGAGTTGCTCTTCACTGCTTCAGCTGTATGCGATAGCCGGATCTCGATCGCTCGTTTCATTTCCTCAGGGTAGGAGGTTCCTCGCCGGTCCTCCTGATCCTTTCTCGCCCACCCAGGGACACTTCCGCGATTCTTCGCCAGTTTTCGACCGCTACCGCCCATCATGAGTAGACTGCTCAAGTTCCGCCGAATCATCTTCGCCCGACAATTCCTCATCCCCGTCGCTGTCGTCTACCTCTTCCTCTTCCTAACTCTGGGGCCATGGTCACCACGCTGGGCCTCCTCGTTCTCTCCCTTCACCGAACCCCCCAAGAAAGGCCCTGTGCGCCAACCCACCAACTTCAAACCACCACCTCGGCTACAGGAGCGTGTCCCGTGCTATGGGCCTCGTGGCAAGTTCCTGTCGCGGAGTCCCGATGACGAGTTGAAGGAGGAGAAGCTCGATGTCGGTAGGTTGCGCCTCCCGCTGCGCGCTTCAGCTTGCGTTCCCTGCTAACGTGTACCTGCCGCCTTCAGCCTACCCCCAGCCCTTCTGGGGCTCATATGCGACCATCGGCCTCGACCAGACATGGATGACGATCGACGGACGATACGGACCCTACGGATACGGCGAAGAGGACAAGTCGTACAACAGGTCCAAGGTCGATTGGAACAAGATTAACTGGGGCAAGCTCCAGAACGAATGCTTCGAGAGGAACCGCCATCGCTTTCCCACCTCGGCTATTCCCTTCGATAACACTCTTCAGATGGTTCGGCTCGGATACAGAAACGTAACACGCATTCCTGAGACTCGCCAGTGGCACGAGTTCAAGAACACTCGACGAACAGCAATTGTCGTGCGCGCGTGGAGAGGATACGATTGGAAGGCCGAGGACATGCAGAACCTTCGCTCCCTGATCGTTGAGGCATCCTTGAGGACAGGAGGAGAGTACCAGGTCGTTTTGCTCGTGGATATGAAGGACTATCAACCGTACATCTTCGCGTCGGACGAAAATTACGAAAAGGCCCTGAGCGAGCTTGGGATTCCCGCCGAGTTCCGCGAAATCGCAGTGTTGTGGGACGATCGCCTGCTCGAGAGCTGGTATCCGGATATCGCGGAGCACAGGTAAGATGATGTGCCCACAGAACCGCAAGAGAGGAGACTAACCGTATTGCAGAACCATGTGGCAGGTGTACCAACCTGTCCAGCTCTTTTCACTTCACTACCCCGAATTTGACCACATCTGGCAAGTCGAGCTCGACATGCGCTTCACCGGTGACGCTGGCAAGTTCCTCGACAGAATGTCCGACTTTGCGCGCAAGGAGCCGCGCAAGCAGGCCTTTGAGCGCGCCATGTTTCAGCAGATGGAGAACAAGATCGGAGACTACAAGGCCTTTTTCGACGCGGTTAATAGGGCCAACAAGGGTGGAGCGTACATCTGGGGCCCTCTGAGAATTCCCGACATCGATCCCATCGGCCCCGAGCCGCCGACCGAGCTCGCAAACAACGAGGACTTCAAATGGGGTATCGGCGAGGACGCGGACGTGATCGTTACGTCGGCATGCAACAATGCGCAAAAGGCCGACGCCTGGGTTTTCAAGGGATGGCTAGGAGGATTCAAGGACGGAACCAGCACCCCTCGTTTTTTCTGCCCACCCGCCATTACCAGGACAAGTCGGACCCTTTTGCTCGCCGTCCATGAAGCCCAACTTGTCAAGGGACTGAGGGCGCCCAGCGAAGCCACGCCGTCCAGCTTTGCGCTCTGGCATGGCCTCAAGTTGAGCTTCCCTCAACACCCCGTATTCTGGAAGAAGAAGCACGACGACGAGACGCAAAATGCCTGGTGGAAGGGGGGGCCGGCCAACAGCACCGATGGCGTCGGTCCCGACGTCTGGGATCACCCCAGTGGCATGGGACTGACTTTTTGGTGGGAGAGCGAGTGGCCCAGGCAGATTGTCGATGCCTGGATGGGCAAGGAGCTGCCCAAAGATGTCGCCCGCCCCTGGCTCCTGGTCGAAAAGGACGGCAAGAGATATGTCCCGAACATGATGATGCACCCCATGAAGCACTACCATTAAAAACACAAAGTGGAGGAACGACGACACCAAACTATACAAAAAGCGATATCATGGCGGCCTGTTTTAGAAATGGCCGTTAACAACTTAATGAAACGACGAAATTCCACACGACTTGAGCATCGGGATCGCATACATGCATGGGCAAAACTTGTCGAAACACCTCGGAAACGTGTCTGGCAAACAGCCCTGGGGCCATGCTTGGGCTAAATTCGATGTACCTCAAACAGGCTTCGCTTTTGCGCGCGAATGATCATATTCTCACAGCGGTTGCAAGGTGATGTCGCAATGTGAGCAGAGCGAAGCAGGACATCATCGATTGTATACCTGCATGCATGCAGATGACAGCATCCATGCTTCAAGCAACGTGGGCAATAAGGACGCAATGCAGGCCGCATTTACATTACATCTCTCTGGTTGTCCACTGTCCCACCTCGGAAAAATCGCAATCTATTCTATTCTCCTCTAAATACTTTTTATGTTCGTTTTCGTTTTCCTATCACAGTAATGTATAACTATTTCCACTTATGATAGACGGACGGACGGAGGACGGCTGAATGGGAGGTTGGCGATGATGGATGGTGTTGGATGGTGACGATTACGCATATCTAGGCCTCGCGGTTTGAACAATAGGGGAACATGTCACTTGGACAGGGGTGCTGAAGAGAAGAGAAGGAAAAGAAGGACTGGGTTGACAAAGGGGAGGCGGGCAAGCAAAAGCAGATGAGCAAGTAAGCAAGCAAGCGAAAACATGCAGATGAGAGAAGAAGAATAAGATGAGGAGGAAATATAATGGAAGAAATAAGGTTCAATACCCACATGTGACGTCTGGTTCGCGACTCCATGTGGTAGGTGTTTTTTTGAGTTAAAGCATCGATGCCATTCACGTCCTTCATCCCTAGGCGTCCTTAGGTCTACATCACCGGCAATGGAGAGATGCACACCTTCGAACCATGAGGTCGCGGAATGCCAGAAAAAGGGAAATTGCAGTTCTGTCATGGCTTAGACAGGATGGCCGTGACCTAGAGTGAATGGCATCGACATGGCGGTATATCCTTCGAATGGTATTTTAGCTTGATGTTTGGTCTCAATCACTGATTCACAAAAGCAAAGGTCTCTTTGAGGAGTGTTGTTGTTGTTGTTTGAACGTCCACAAATAATGCTGTAGGAGGCATCCTCCATATTATTATCATGTACATGATCAGAAACAAAACTGTATTAATCATACTGCCATACGACGTCATAAAATCATCATCCCCCCGCTGGTCCGTACATCAAAGCCTGGGTATCAACAACAACAACTTCAATGACAGACTATCCATCACTTCCCCATCACTTCCATCTTCTTCCACATTTAATGGAACTGCCCAGGCCCGGGTCCGAAAATCTCTCCCTCCTTCAACGTCTTCAACAAGCAAGGCGTACCCTCGCACCCTTCCGACACCACGTCGTTGCCCCACCAGCTAACTTCGACACCCGACCAGTCCAAGCTGAAAAAGATGATGACAGCAGCGACAGAGATGCCCGTGGTGAAAGCGGCCGACAGCACGAAGTTGTACTTGGACCAGAAGCCAAGGAAGCGGCTCCTGCACCAAATCCAGGACAGCCAGCCGATCCAGACCGAGGGGATTACGTACGACAAGTTGTATGGGGCCCAGTACATGGCTCCGTACAAGAGGACGATGGGGTGAATCTGGCGCAGCCACTTCTTCTGAGGGAACTTCTTCTGAATGTACCAGGTAATGACGGGGAGGAGGAGACCGAGGGGCCAGCCAAGCATGAGGGCCGTGTACTGGCCATTGTGACCAAAGATCTTCTTGGGGCCGATGGTACCCCAGAGGACCGAGGCAGTGAAAAAGGTGTTGATGCCCGGGCACGTCATCTTGTTGGGGGCTTCGTTGGTGCAGACCCTGGGGATGTCGTTCATCTGGAAGTTGAGGATACCGGTGCAGATGAAGGTGGAGACGAGCGTGGCGACGACCTGGGCAGCGAACGTGTGCTTGGGCGGGATCTTGACATAATGGGCGAGCTTAAGGTCGTTGGCGAACCAGACCGCGTGGGCGCAGGTAACGTAGCCGAAGGACTTGAAGTAGTTCATGGCGAGTGCGTTACCTTGGACCCAGGAACCACCGATAAACTCGGCCAAGACGTTAAGAGTAACCTCCATACCCGTCATAGCCTTGACGATACCGACGGGGATAACGAAAATGAAGCAGAGAATGAGACCGTAAAAGACGACGGCAGGGGTGGTGTAGGTCTCCCAGCCGGCGATGCCACCAATGCCGCAGCCGATGGCGCCCAACAGGATAATCAGATACCACCACTCGGGAACTTCGGAGTAGACGGCCATGAGACGGTTGTGAACATCCTTGTATTGGCCAGCCTCGGTGTTCTTGTTCCTGCGAAGCGAGTTCCAGAGGTTCTTGAAACCCATGGAGACTTCGTAGCGGTGGTTGAGCAGGATGTAAGTGAGTGTGGCAGGATAGATGGCAAAGAAGAAGAGGTAGATAACCAAGTTGCCGGCAGCCAGGTAAGCAGGTGAGTAGGCCTCGTACCTCTCAGCATCGAACAGACCCTTCTCGTTGATGGCACGGGAGATGTTGTAGCGTTGGCCCATGTTGTCGTAGACCTTGTTTGAATTGATGGGCAGGTAGCCCGTGTTGTAGGTGTTGGACCACCAGATACCAATGACGACAAAGAAGGAGCAGAACATTCCGAGGAACTTGTTAAGCGTGCTGAAGAAGGGAACCATGAGCGGGTCGGTGCCGTCGAAAAGCAGGACATTCCAGTCGAAGGTGGGCCAGGGGTTGAGGCCGAGACCGTTGTTGAATCCGGTGATGTTGCTGAGGACCATGTTGTTGGGAGAGATCCAAGACAACCAGCTGAAGGCGCTGAGAGCAAGGAAGAGGTAGTTGGGAAGCCAGAAGTAGACAAACATGGCCAAAGTAGCCCACAAGAAGAAGGTGTAACGCGACATGGAGAAGACCTTCTTGAGGGGGCCAAGCACTGGCACGTTCGACTCGGTGTGGAAGGCGTTGTTGAGAGCAATGGTGACGAGAGAGGCGGGCCAGACGCAGTAGCTGGGGTAGACGAGGAATCGACGAGTCAAGCCGGCCATGCCGTAGCCGATCAAGTTGGTGGAAAGGGCGACCAGGATCTGGTAGCTGAACTGACCGGCGTAGGACTGGTTGAAGTACTCGGGAAGGTACTGAGACCAGATGATGTTGTTGGTGTAAGGAGTGCTACCAGCAACGTTGGCCATGATGGTGATAAGCATGTGCTCCTTGCGGCTGAAGGGGCCAGGGTTGAGGCTGTGGCGAGAGCCGAAGAGGGTGAAGCCGACATCTGGAAGAGCCTTCTCGCAGATCTTGCCAACGGGGTAGGCCAACAGCTGGGCGACGTTGAGACCGACAGTAATGGCAGGCATACGGATGGAGAAGAGCTGGTTGATGGCACCGAGAGCACCGGAGAAGATGAGACCAATGACCCAGGCACGGATGGTGGAGCAGGGCATAGTGGGATCATCATGGTTGTCGACAACGGCACGGACCTCGGCATAGGGCGAGTTGTTGGTGATGAGGGCGGCCTCGATCTTCATCTCGTAGATAATTTCTTCATACTTTTCGGGATTCGTGAGGATGTTGGCGTTGCCCAAGAACTCCTCGATCTTGGTCATGATGGTGTGGGGGAAGTTGGGATCGTTGCCGTGAATTTTGAGGACCTGCTCCATGAGGGCTCGGACTTCCTCGAGCGACATGTTGTCGGCGAGGGCCTTGGCCTCCAGGAGATCCTGCTCGGTGACACTGAAGTCACTGTTGTTGTTGTCGGTGATGTTAGTTATGACTTTTGGAACGGTACGGGCCATGGCTTGGTTAGCTGGGACAGACTCACGCTTCGACGGTACGGTCAACGGTGGCCTCCTCAGCCGCAAAGTCATGAGGGGCCTTTTCGTCGATGCGGCCTTCATCGTATGGGCTAGACTTCTTGTCCACGCCCATATCGTGGATCTCGGTGACGTTTTGCGCCATGATGGCCGCAGCTGTGTGATGTCACCCCTTGGGATAAGCTGTAGGGTTCCCGTAGGGGATCGGGGCTAAAAAGGCTGCAGGATGTAGGTAGGTGAGGTAAGTTTGATATTTAGTGAGGTGCGGTGTTGAGGAAAAGTCTCAAGCTGGCATCGATCGATCAATATGAGGAGTAGAGGAGGCTCATCGAAGAGGTTGAGTCAATGGGAATGAAGAGGATAGACCTGGAGGGAAGGAGAGGCCCAGGAGATGGATCCTCGGGAGGACTTGGTGGTTTAATATAACAAGGCGGAGGAGGTGTCTTTCCATGTCGTGCGACTCAGATCCGTCTCAACGGAAAAGGCCTCTTTTGGATGGCATCCCGCCACCCTTCCGTGTCTATCAACCATCTCCCGCTCACAAGGGCTATGGTATCAACGGGAGAAGGTAGGTAGGTTAGGTTGTATCGACTGGCACCGCAATGTCTCGCCCAGTCGTCCATCTAAGGAAAGATGTGCGAAGTCGGACCTGGGGTCGAGACCTCGGTCGCTCTTGTCGATAACTGGCTACAGAGCTGCGTTGATGAGCTGCCAATTTGGGAAGGCGCTTGTTACCTACCTTGACTTACACCAAATCCTCAGTGGCGTTATGGGCCAGACAAGGAAGGCAAGGGTGAGTTAGTTACTGATTCGCAGTACATACAGTGTGTACTTTCCATACCAAGACCTCTACTACTACCACTGACCTGGGACGGGAACAAGAGACAAACTGCGGCAACCGACAGCAAGGAGAGATTGGCGTGTTTTCTCTTTCCTATACTTTGATAGAATGCATCAATTGGATCAGTGTCGGCTGGGAACACATGCAGTGTCTCTCGTTATTACTCGGATCTCAGCCTGTGAACACAACCGACTCGGAGTCTGGGTGTTAGTGTTAGTGTGGGCTGTTAGAGGTAGGGACAGCACTAGCTCCGCAGTCCACATGTCAGTGTTCACCCGGCCACAGTCCACAAGCGCTTCAGCCGCCCCCCTTCCATGTTAACCAGTTGCAGACGCCTTCATTCTTTCAGCATCTGTTTCTGGTCGTTCGTTCATCTTAAGCCAGGGTACCTGACGGCCTGGGTGTGGTAAGACTGGAGTGACTGTGTGGGAGATGGCCAGGTCCACACGGTATTGCATGCCAAGATAGCTTAATTCACGTACCACCCACCCACCCACTGCTTGGTGACGACCTTCTCTTTCCAGAAGAACTGGCGACGGAAGGCAATCACAGACAGGAATGGCGACCTCCCCCCGGCGGTTGTTGTGGGATGGATCAAAGCTGGGGGTGGGATTACATGGGCGACCAATTTCACTGGTCAGGGGTACGGCGCTGGGGAATCCAACCAACGTTAAGACACAGCTGCGAGACAGGCCAAATTCACTAGCAAGGACTGGAGGCTGCTCCTGCACATGCAGTGGGTGCAGTGGTGTACCAGTTGACCGGAGGAAAGAGCCGTCGGCGTCCCTCCCCAATCATCATCATCATTATCATCGTCATCATCATTGTTCCTTCCTGTCTTTGCATCGCTGTAGATAGGTATGTTCAGGTATTGCCCCTCCTTCCTCTGAAAATTCATCCTCGCCGACCCGACACCATCATCATAGCAAACGGCAGCCGATCGGTTATCGCAGTGACTTGGAAACACCCCGAGAACAAACCCACTCAGTGGACCAGCGGGGGATAACCGCCCGGGTGACGGAATGTCCGAATTGCCTTCCAATACCTCAACCTGCTGGCTCTCAGGCTTTCCGTTTGGCAATGGCAAAGGCGATATTGTCCCGCACCAATGATCATGATGTGAAGCACAACTTCTCTTTGCGGACTCGACTGTTACACACTGCGCTTCAGCGGCGCAAAGGGGATCCCTACCTCGGGCGCCGATATCCGTAGCAGCCAAGAGCCAAGGGTTGGAACAAATCAAGTATGAATTGAAAACTACGAGACTACGTAGTGGCCGATACACCAAGTCAAACCTAGGGCCGGATTGGGATTTGGTTTGAGGCAAAATGCGCATATTGGGGAAATCATACTTTTGAAATGAGAAGAGAGCGCAATTTTTACTAATGTCAGAGGGTTTCTCTAGGCCCTGGACGTTCATACTTAGCACCTAAATACCCCACCATTTTCTCTACAACTGGGTACCCGCTTAATGATTCTGTCGACCTTTAGACATGAAAACCTTCAAGTTATGGAAATCTGTACTTCGATTCATTGGGTTTGCAAGTCAAATCTTGACTCCGACTCAGCCAAGTCTGGGGTCGACTCACGTGGATTTGATTTGGGTAAATTTGACTCATTCCTCCTGACCCTGACAAGACCTTCGACCCTCTGAATCCCCTCATACTATGGACCTAGCGCCATGCAGCCCATCTTTGTTCTACCCGATTGGGACCAGAATCATGATATTATTGGTGTCCTTTTCCTCCAACAGGAAGGGGCATCATCACAATCGCCGTCGGCCAAGGAGCGGAATGGAACAGCATGGCACATACATAGAGTTGAGTGTCCCTCCCGACACGGTGCCCGCCCAGACGGAATGTCGTCTCCGATCGGCGCCAAGCATCACGATAAGCTCCTCTCGACGTGCGTTACGACATGGGCCCGTCTGGGGTAAATTACCGGATGCGGCAGCTCGATTAGACTCGCTGATTAGCCAAAACACCTGGTCCATGTTTGCTTCACTCTCCCCCTTCCTGATGTTCCTACAAAAGTACCTAGGGCCGGACTGTGGCTACTGAGGTCTAGGCATTATGGTAGGAATTGGGAGCTCTAACTGGCCAGCCGACCACAGGGTTGATACATTCTCGGCGTTGGATAAGAGTCACTTCCATGTCAAATGTGCGAACAACAAGAGGACACCCGACTAACCCATAGGTATGCCCTATATCGCCAGAAGGGGCCGACATCCCACGCTCGGGAATAGCCGAGCAACGACAAGCAACTGTGCCCTGACAAGAAATCGACAAGACCTGTCACATCTGCGCCCAGAGCAATCTATCGCCCGATTTCTGACCTGGCCACCCACCCATTTCGCTGTTATGCCGTTCTGCTACCGTTCGAGGACACCATCATCTGCACGCGGAAGGAATGTGGCAGCGGCGACCAACCTATCGATGTACCGCCGACCCATCATCGGTGACAGCCAGGTTGGCCGACAAGATCACTCAGCTGGGAACCAGGTGTTCTAAATAACTTGTTACTCCTTAATAACCGCGTCAGTTTCGACTCCTCGCTCGTTCGTCTCGAATTGGTCTCCAACCCGACATCCGATAAGAGAAGCGCCGGGTAGCGATAACGTTATACAACCTAAAATGATGTGGTCCGCTTGCGTTTCCGAGTCGCTGTCGCTAATCGTTCGTCTATATTACCTTCCACTTTTGGCCACGAGGGTCGGGTCCCTGTATGTATATTTAACTACCCTAGATTCGCTAGTGTCATGTTCCAACGGTCCTTTGAGCCGAACGATAGGCCGGGGGATCAACTGGATGTGTTAGATTCCATCCAAACCGACTACATACGCGAGCTTAACATTAAGCTTCCAGTTTTGGGGTAGGCTCGGGGGTCTGGAATACCTCTAGGACCGGTCCATCTGGAGTCGCGTGGTCCGACTCACTCGGAGGTATGCGGGGTGCATCACCACCATTCTCTCACTGTGACAGACACAGCTGTGTGATAGCATCATAATGACTAGGGACAGGCCTGCATCAAGTTCCAACTTGCCTCTTGAGAGTTGCAATGGAATCCCGAAGGAATGGAAAGCGCAACCAACAAGCCGACTGAAAGCAGAACACGGCAGCAAGAGTGATGATAAGGATCGGGTTATGTTTTTCGTGCCCGTATCACGACCTGTAGCCTACCCTGAATACTTTCTTCTGGCCCGGAAGTGTGTTCCGTCCGATTTCTTGGCTTCTCGGTTACATACCTATGGACACTATCTTGGCTCATGGGACATATGGCAGTGGGAAGCCTGGCATACGACTTTGGTTGGGGTCGCCACACTACCTACACTAGACTGGTGTATTGTCCCAGAATAACGATTCAACACCATCTCGTCATTGATAAGGCAGCATGATGGTTAGCGTGGAGATTCCAAAGTCTGATTGGGTTTCCCACCACACCTCGACGCCTGCTCAATTGTCTCTTCGCCATCCGCAACGTCGGCCGGCCCGACTGACCTCTTCAGACCAGCCCAAATGTCCACGAGCTTTCCCAGCTGTACTTCTGGCCAGGACCGAGAATCTGCTTGTCGACCCTCCCCCATTCCGGGCTTTACCTTTAGGTCAGCCACCGAAAAAATCTGCTTGTCATTTCCTGAAGGCAAACTCACTGGTTGATACCATCGGGGTAATCCTGAGCCTCAATGGCGACACACGAGCTTCTACCGACGGTTCTGGGCACCGCCGTCCCATTCACCACAAGCTTTTGTGTGCTCTTCAACTGCGCGCTTCCGTCCATCCAATTGCAAGAATACAATACGACACCTGGTTGATCGGTCCGTAGATCGGCCTTGACGCCCGAGAACGGGCTCGTCAGAGAAACGACCACGGCATCCCTCGACGGCTTATCCTCGATCAGCCAATATCCGTTATAACCCTCGCATGCGCCGTTGGCACCGCAGTTGCCTGCAAACCCCGGCTGATCGCGAGCGTGGCCCAGAGCGAGGCCGGAAGCACTGGCAAAGTCGTTGATGGAGCCCGGGGCTGCAGTCAGAATCTTGCCCGTGGGGAGGGCACCTTGGTCGGCCTCAAGGTAGCGCGCTGAGTAGGGCATATACAGGGTGTGATCCCAGATCTTGTCCGTGGCCGGGTTCTTGTAAGCGTCGAGGTTGAAGTAGGTGTGTTGAGTGAGAAGGACAGCTGGGTGGTATTTAGCATGGCAGCTTACAACTACACAGTTAGGGGAGGTGAGTTGCTTTGGTCACTTACGAGTCTTCCTCTCGGGAGAAACAGCATTCATCTTGATGTGCCAGGTGCTCTTGCTCACAGAATAGGTCACGGTGGAGTCGACGCGGCCCAGCATGCCCAGAGACGAGTTGGAAGCATCGGAGATGGCAAAGGTTATGGAAGTGGGCGTGTGTTCGGTGACGTTCCAGAATCGATACGACCAGTTGTTGGTGCCGCTGTGCAAAGTGTTGTTACCGTCGTTCAACTCGGTGTGGTACTCCTCACCGTCGATGGTGTACTTGCCCTTGCCGATACGGTTCGCATAACGACCTGGAATGGCGTTGTACACGGGATGGCCCGGATCCTTGGCTGTCGTCTGCGTCAGTGGATTTTGTTTCGGACTGGGAAAGCTTCGACTCGTCAGATCACGAACGATAATATTCCACATCATCATACCCCAGAACCACGTCGACGTCTTTGCCATTCTTGTCCTTGACAAAGAGGTTGGTGAGAGTGGCGCCGTAGGGGATAAACTGCGCCTTGATCCCCGGAGCCGCGATGGTGTATCTTCCGTCGGGGTCGGGCTTGACGCCCTTGCCCGGACCGCCGAGAACTGTTGTCGCCTCCATGATAACGGCTAAATAGGTGATGATGGATTTCATTGCGTTTCTTCAGACGATGCTCAGAAACCCCATTGCACTGACCGCTTGATAACCGCTTCCACACGAGCATCACACCTTTTCTTTTTGGCTTCCGGCCTCCTCCTTTATACCCCTCTTCATATCGTCCGTTTGCTGCTCCTCATCGTACCCAAACCTAACGGACCCGTCGGAGTCGTATTCAGGCAACCCAAGCCGCGAATCGGGAAACCATTCGGGCTTTTTCATCCGCTCAAAGGCACACATCTTCCCAAACGAACAAAGTCGTGTCCCCCGTACTAACATCCCAGATCTCGAATTTTTCCCCTGTCGTACCCCAGATTGAGAACGTAAAAGGCGGGATGGAAGTCTGGTTCCGCATGTTCCTAATCGGAAGTAGGTAATGAGGGGAAATGGCAAATGTTTAGGTACCTCCCTACCCACGAGACCCTTGGTATTCCCTGAGCCCCTTGATTTGCCTTTTACTTGAGTGAGGGGCAAGGTCCACAGCGTGTGATACACAACGTCGACAGACTGTATGCTAGCAACATTGAAAAAGCTTAAGGGGGGAGGGGCTTCTCATCACAGCCAAGAAGTGGGAAGATGTTTCAAGACCACGAGAGTACCACCTCAAAATGCAGGAGCGTCCTCAAATGAGCGTAATGGGATGGCTATCGTCATTTGTTTTGTCTTTTTTTCGCATATTAAACTGCAGGTTGGATGCAGTTCATGGGCGTGTCTCTCATGCAAAACGAAGTGGTTTTCTGTGGTTTGTCATAAAACTCCTCCTGCTGTACGAACCAAATTTTCCGCCGGCATAAAGAGTGTGGGAGGTTTGGATAGGAGTATATTTGGTTACTCCTCATATCAGCCACGGTGCGCTTTGGTCGAAATTAATCTTGTGCCAGTCACACGGCAGCGAATATATATGACGTACAGAGTGTTTACTAGGAGGTTTGTGTTAAGCTTGTATGGACGACAAGTTCTACCTAGATTGTTGATGCAGCCAACCAATTGACTTGCGATACCTACCTACTCTTACCTTAGAAAAAAAAAACAGAAGATCAGGTCTCCCAACGTCTCCTATTAACATCGACAAGCAAATCCATCCTCCGGAGTCAGCATAGCGTGTTCTTGGTCGATTCTCGAGAAACCTGAGACTTAAAGGCACCTGAGCTTCGTCAATGCCATTGTCGTTGCCACTGATTGAAGCCGAACGGCCCGGTTGGTCTCAAGAGGACGGGCTTCCTCCGGGGCCATATGATGCTCGGCTTTGTTTTCCAAGTTACCTAGTCATAGCGTCGTTGTAGGAACTGGGAATCCTTTCTAAGTGCTCCTTATATTCGCCGGACTAGACCTCAAGGTGTTGATTGCCTGATGTTTGTTCATTAGGGCCTAAAGCGCCGAGAATCCCCAAACAAATTTGCTTTAGCAAGACACGGTTGCTACTCGCTTCTTCACCGAAATGGAACCACTCAAGTTATTTCGGTTTTGTCTATTCCGAGAACTATACTTACAAACTCTTTCCCACTTGTCCTTGTATTCGGAACAAAGTGTTTAGAAATGAGTACGCCATGTCCGACCTATATCCGGCAACCTATGACTGCAAAACCATTGAAACCCTTATCAAGCAAAACGCCGAATCCATGTAGTAGGTTACTGAGGGTATAGTGACCATGACTATCTAGCCAGCTCGTGAGAGCATGTGCAAAAAGATCTAGAAAAAGTGATTCCACTCTAGTACAGTGGGAGAGAAGAGAACAAAGAACAGAAAGTAGAGAGAATGAAAAGAAACCAAGCCGAACTCTCAGAAAATCGAACCATCAAACCAAATCGCACCGGAAAATCCCACCATCCATCGCTCAGAGAAAAATGGAAGACTCCTTCTTTCCTACGTCCTCCCAACTAGCCGACAAGGCGTTATCTTCGTCAGCGTCACCATCAACGCTGGTAGCAGTGCTGGCACTGGAAACCACAGTGGAAGTGCTGACAATCGAAACCACAGTGGTTTCAGTCAAAGTGCTAGCCGAAGCCTCGAGAGATGGAGTGGTGCTCGGAGCCGACTTAACCGAGCCACTAGCAGCCTGCAAAGTCTGAGAGCCAGCGGGGGTCTCCTTCTGTTCAGTAGGAGCAGTAGAATCCTTGGCTGCAGCACCGCGGGCGACCAAAAGATCACTGGCAATTCCCTCGCACAAATGGGCAATGCTGGTAGCGCTGAGGATCTTCATCACCGCAACATCTTGGGCAACCGTCTTCCATATCCAGGAGCGGATTTCGACTGCGATAAGAGAGTCGACACCAAGCTCAGTGACGCTGTTGGCAGGTGTGATTTCGCCCTCGGCAATCTGCAGAAGTGCCTCCAAGCGGCCGATGAAGGCAGGCACGTACACCTTCATCACGTCCTCTTTGGTGGTGGCAGCATCAAGATCCTCGGCAAGAGACTTGATCTGCTGGCCGGTAGAACCAGCGGCGGTTTCGTCCTCCTCGGGGAGGGTATTGTGAGAGAAACGAGGATCGAGCTGCCAGTGCTGATTCGGTGCGTCCATGCGGAATCGGTTCATGCCCGTAGTGATGTCGTAGACGGTGTGCCCCACAGGCTTTCCAGCAGCAATGGCCTCGAGGAACATATGATGAAGATCACGCTCGGAAATGGGCGGGTATCCCTCACGCTCGAGACCGGCGTACAGATCGTCCTTCTCACGGTGCAAGAAGCCAAGGCCGTAGACGACCCCAATGTTCAGAGCCGTGGCCGGCAATCCGCGGCACCGACGAGAAGCGGCAATGCCGTTCATGTACATGTTAGCCGCAGCATAGTTCGATTGACCGGCATGGCCGCCAATGGCAGCGAAAGACGAGGTCATGATGAAGAAGTCCATATCTGGAGAGTCGAAGACCGTGTCGAGATTCCTGGAACCGACCACCTTGGGATTCATGACACGATTCCAAGTCTCGACGGACATCTCGGAGAACACACGGTCGTCAAGAACCATGGCACCGTTGACCACGCCTCCGACAGGCGGCCAGAAATCTTCGGCAAGCTTCGTCTTGAAGGCAATCACCGTGTTGAGGTTGGTAACATCCATCGCCTCGAACTTGACCTTGATGCCGCGAGCATTGAGCTCCTTCTGCCACTGAGGCTGCTCCTTCGGGGGGTTTCGACTGCACAAAACAAGGTGACGAGCACCCTGCTCGATGAAGAGAGAGCAGAGGCTCTGGCCCATGTCGCGAGTGATGCCAACCAGGACATAGGTCCTGTTAGGGCGAAGCATCTTTTCACACACGATAGGCTTAATCATGTGAGCGATAGACCTCTCGGCCTTCCAGTCGAGCATCTGGAAAGCCTCACCAGACACAGCAGAGTCAAGCAACTTCGGCAAAGTGATGGGGTCCAGGATGTCGAAAGAAGGCTCAATGGCATCAAGCAGCATGCTCTTCATGCTGTTGTAAGAAAGCGCCACAGCCTCTTCCCAGAGCCTCTGAACGAATGCCGCATTGGGGTGCGCCGTGAAGTGAGTCGAGATAAGTTTATCCTGGGTGAGATACTCGCAATTCTCAGGCACCGAGTCAACAAGCATGCGAGAGACGTCGTGAGTCTTGGGCAGCATATTGACAATGCAAGCTCCGTCGAGGGGATAGAGGGCCTTGATCTGCCTCGAAGTCGACTGTGAATGAACGAAGGCCATTTCGGGAACAACTCGGCTACTACGCTCATCCGTGGAAGCACCCATAAACCAGATGCCGCGGTTGCTAAAAACTTCCTTGGCGCATTGGAAGAGGAGGCCATCCGGCTCGATGATCATGACAGCCTTGCCATTAGCCATGTCGACAATAGTGAGAGCGTAAATATACCGGCTGAGCAAGCTAAGGTAGAGCGGCTCACAGACGCCGACAGTGCCTTCAGGGAGCGTGCTGAAGATTGTAGAGGCCGTTGAAATGAAGGACTCGTTTGATTTAGAGAGGGCAACTTGAGCCTTGCCAGTCTCGTTGTTGCGGCCAATGCAGATATGACCGGAGCAAATGCCTCCAACGTTGAACACGTTGACAGTGCTGTAGTCCACGTGCATCGCCGATTCGGCATGCGAAGGATAGGATTCGCTCTTCTCGACCCGAGTCTCGTACCGGCCAGAGGCTGAAGCGAGGACCTCAACAACGTCTTCCAGAGTGTTGACTGTATCGGTCACCACGCGGCGAGGCGCATTGACACGCTGATTACCCTCTTTCCACGGGAGAACGCGAGGAACGATCAAGCGGCCACCCTCAACGTGTACCTCGTGCTCACGAACCCAAAGGGGCTCATCATCCTCATTCTTGGGGCCGAGGAAATAAACGATGAAACGAGCAAACATTTTGGACACGGCGCGAACAGCCGGACAGGTATCAATGGTGTCGAGATCGAGCACTTGTATATGCAAGCCAGGGACTTCACCGGTAACCGTTCGAGTGAAGCCAAGCGATGCGGCATGATCGGGGTTGTTGAACCTGGCATTATGGGTAACCCACATGATGAGCATTTGGGGGCGCAGCAAGGACCGAATGGTGTCCATCCGCTCGGCCGTCATATCAGCAAGAATAGGCTGGTCAATATCGCCAAGGATGATGGCTGCGGTGCAAGATGAGAGCAACTCATCATTGTGGATATCCTCCAAGGAGTCGACAGCGGTGATCTTTGCACAGAAAGAGGCAAGTTCCTGGAAAACACCAGAGGAAATGCAAGACGTCCAGACCTTCTTACCACCCACGATCAGAAGATGCTTCACAAGAGGAGTTGCGGTGGCATGATGCAGAGGCCAGAGCAGTTGCTTCTTCCTCTGTGACATTGCCTGTCTTACACTGAGGGTGAATCCAGGATTGAACCACATATCCGAGTTCTTAGCAGTGTTCTCGAATCCGCACTCTTCGATGAGATCAGGCCAGTCAGGAGGTGTGGCGATTCCGTCGTCGCTCGAGGTACGGCCAGCGCAACGAAGCATCCTCTCCTTAAGCGGAGTATGAGATGCATGGACGACAACAAGAAAGCCGCCAGGACGCATCAAATCCCTGATAAGCTGGAGCGCGGAATGAGTCTTCTTGTTGTCGAGGATGGACGTGTTGAGAACCACAAGGTCATAAGGTCCTTCAGCAGATTCAGCATCGCCCTCGAAGTCAACCTCATCAATCATGATCTTCTTGCGAATCCCTTCGGCAAGAGGAGTGCGCTCCTTGAGGTTTGTCTCAGGCTTGCCACCAATGCGGTAGCTAAGGAACGATCCATCGAGTGCTGCCATGATATGCTCGGTCAAGC